TATGGAGGGAAAAACTCCAGATTACTAGCAAATAGATGTAGGAAAAAAGCACTCAAAACAAGAATACACTGCATCACCAAAAAAGACGGCAACATAACATTCTCCCCCAAAGAAATAATCTCAGAATTTGCAGAATTTTACTCCAACCTATACACCTCCCGAAACCCACCAGAGAAGGAAATCAAAAAATTTCTAGCAGGACTGACCATGCCTACCCTAACTGATGAGGAGCGGGAATTCATGGACAGCCCTATCACCCCAGAGGAAATAGATGCAGTCCTCAAAAAACTGAAACCACATAAAGCCCCAGGCCCAGACGGCTTCACAGCAGAATTCTATAGGAAATTTAAAGAACCCTTGATGCCCTACATGACCCGCCTATTCAACGACATCATAAAAGGGGGCCCCATCCCCAAAACCTGGACCCACTCCAAAATAGTCTCCATCCCAAAACCACTAAAAGACAGCCTCAAAGTAGAATCATACCGCCCAATCTCATTAATAAACCAAGACTACAAGATATTCACATCAATCTTGGCCAACCGCCTAAAAATCTTCCTACACAAGTTAATAGCCCCAGACCAGACTGGCTTCGTCCCTGGCCGCAATATAACAGACCCCATCAGGAAACTACTGAACCTGATCGAACACAGCAAGGCAACCAAACTCCCATTGACAATTATGTCCCTAGACATCCTCAAAGCCTTTGATTGCTTAGAGTGGAAATACATATTAGCAGTACTAACCAACATGAAATTTGGCCCCAACTTCCTACAGATCCTCAAACAAATATACTCCCAAGCCTCAGCAAAATGCAGAACTAACAATATGGATTCTAATACTATAGCTATCCAAAGAGGCACAAAACAAGGATGCCCACTGTCTCCCTTCTTATTTATCCTGGCTCTTGAACCCCTAGCAATCCGCATCCGAGCGGCCACAGACATCAAGGGAGTGGAAATAAAAGGCAGAACCTATAAATTAGGGCTCTTTGCAGATGACCTAGTGGTCACAACACCAGACCCCATAAGCACAGCAACCTCCCTAATCAGAGAACTCAACACATTTGCAATGGTGTCGGGCCTACAGGTAAATTTTACAAAGTCAGAAGCTATGTGCTTCAACACCCCTCCTCACACCCAAAAAGAACTCACGAAGGTCACCAAAATAAAACTTTGCCACACCAAGTTCAGATACCTAGGGGTACAAATAACCAGAAACCTCAATAAATTGTACCTCCACAACTACAAGCCCCTGTGGCAACAAATTAACAAAGACCTAAAGAGATGGAATAACATGAATTTCACTCTCTCAGACAAAATAGCCATGATCAAAATGACCACACTCCCAAAACTAACCTACCTATTCCAAACCCTCCCAATCTGGATCCCCTCAACCCAACTTCGCAGTTGGCAGAGAAAACTACACTCTTTCATCTTCTCACATAAAAAACCAAGAATAAGCCCTAAATACCTACACCTCCCCACCTCAGAAGGAGGATGGGGAATCCCCAACATAGAAGCATATTACATTGCCAACCAAATACGCCATATAATCCCATATATACTAGAAGATGAGACAAAACAATGGGTACACCTAGAGAGGGACACAATTGAAAACACCTGCACCACAACATACCCACTCCTCCCAAACAAACTAAAGAAAATTCCCACAACACTTAACAGGTACACACAGACCATGCTCAAAGCATGGAAAACACAAATAGGCAAACTATCCCCAACCCCATCCCCACTAATCCCCCTGGCGTACCACCCATTATTCCACCATGCAGCACAAAACCTCCAAATAAAAACCTGGCGAGCCAAAGGCTTATATCGCCTAATAGACTTTTATAAAAATAACAAACCCCTGTCAACACAAGAAATACAAGACAAACTAGAAGACACCCAAATGCCCTGGTTAACACAACACCAACTACATGCCCTCTTAAACAACCCAACAGTAAAATCAGCAGCAACTAGGCCCCTGACAACCTTCGAAAACCTCCTCCTAACAACAAAGGGAAACGGTAAAGGGACAGTATCCGCAATATACAAAATACTACTCCAAAATCCCGCAAATCCCCTAGACGCAATCAAAAAACAATGGGAGAATGACATAGGCTATGAGATTAACCCCACTCAATGGACCAGAATGTGGTCTAAACCCCCCTTTAAATCCATATCAACGAAAAGAAAAGAACTCACACTGAAACTCACCTACAGGTGGTACCTAACACCAAGGAAACTAGCGCTAATACACCCAGGAACCTCACCAAAATGCTGGAGAGGGTGCACCTCCACAGGCACATACCTCCACATGTGGTGGGAGTGTCCCAAAATCCAACTATTCTGGATGACAACCATACAAGAAATATGTACAATAACTAAGCAAGTAATAGACATCACCCCAGAACTGGCCCTACTAAACATCTTCCAAGACAACAATGCCCATTTACACCACAAAGAACTCATAACCCACCTGCTCTCAGCAGCCAGAAATACCATAACCAGACACTGGAGAGACCTGTCAGGAGTAAGCATGGACCAATGGTACCAAACAGTATGGGAAACAGCCCTACTAGAAAAATTAACTAATAAACTGAAACTGACACGGGGACAAACAGAAGAAGACACCTTCACCCCGGTATGGCTCCCCTTTATCACACACACAGCCCAACAGGACAATGACAATAATCCACCAGCAGCATACAAATCAATATGGCTAACCTGATCCAAAACACCCACCCACCTCACTCACACACGAAAACAAAGATCACCACAGCCAACCACAAGCAAACAATCACACCCTAGGCCAACCCCAACCTCTCTCACCACCAAAGGAACACAAGTGAACGACACAAATAACGCTGACACCAAACTCTACACACATTAAACATAATAGAAACACCGCCACCCGACCCCACCCCCATCCATCTTCCCTCTCTCCACCCCCCTTTTCTTCTCTCTTTCTTTTTTCTTCTCCCCCTAATGCCTCAACAAATGAAATGGATTTGTAAAAATGTCAAAGGGAAAAAACAAACAAAAAACGAGGCACTACACTTCTGTAAAACAAGAAAATCCTTAATAAAATATTTTAAAAAAAAAAAAAAATAGCATCCTTCAGCCTGACTATATATCTTCCCTGGTCTTTCCTTAATCCACCCTCATTCTGATTATTCTATACAAGATCATCAACAGTTATCCCTCCTGTTTTTTGCTATCCTTCAAAATTATTTCCAAATGCCTCTTCCTCTGCGACCCGACTTTCCTCTAAGTTTATGTCACTTACTGTCAGTCTCTCTATGCCTTATTTCATTGGTCACTAAGTTTTCTCAGCAACCACTGCATCACCTCTATGTTCTGCACTCTGATAGTACTGTACAGTGGTACCTCGGGTTACATACGCTTCAGGTTACAGACTCCGCTAACCCAGAAATATTACCTTGGGTTAAGAACTTTGCTTCAGCATGAGAAACAGAAATCATGCAGCGGCGGTGCAGCGGCAGCAGGAGGCCCCATTAGCTAAAGTGGTGTTTCAGGTTAAGAACAATTTCAGGTTAAGAACAGACCTCCAGAACAAATTAAGTTCTTAACCTGAGGTACCTCTGTACTAAATACAAGGAGGTATTGCCTACAGGAGGATTGCCGGTTGCTGAGCATTAATGAAAAACCAAAGCAGTTTGGGACCCTTTGAACTGGCAAGCATCCTCAATGTGCCTCCTCTCAGCCAGAAAGGTTGTTTAGGCGAGTGTGAACTGGCATTCTGAGGACAGATAGAATTCTATTCTATTCTGTGGACAGGTACTCTGGAAGACGCTCCCAACTGGTGGTGTGCATTCATAGAACACTGGCTTCCCTGTCAGACATCAACACACACGTCCTGTACCAGGACTGACTGAGAGGATGGCGTAAATGACTTGTCATGGTCAGATCACTTCCTGTTGAGATTTAGGCTTTCAGCACCCTTTCCCCCCAGCAGAGGTGCAGAGCCGTAGCTAGGTGATCCCGCACCCCTGGCAGAACCGTCCAGATTGCACCCCCTAGCTACGGACAAATTTGCTCTTCTTCCCACCACTCCTCCAACCCCCAACCCCTTCCACCCATTCAATTCACCCTCTATTTAAAACTATTTCTTATCAGGCAATAATCAATATTTATATTTATGGACATATTTTTAGCCAATTTTGCACCCCCCATCGCCTGCACCCCTGGCAGGGGCCCACCTCACCACCCCCTAACTACGGCCATGCAGAGGATGGTTTGCCCTCGGAGGCTGGTGCATCCAGTGGGTTTCTGGATGGCTCTGGGAATGCCAGAAGTGCATCATTTGGCCTTTTATGTTTAGCACACCTCCAGAAGATAGCAGTGTGGGACATTTTCTGGGTTTGTGGGCAGAAAGATCTTCACAGAAGCAGTTTTTTAAAATAAATATTCAATAGAGAAATATGGCATGTGCTCAACAGCACTCTCATTTCTCATTGAAAACAAGACCTGGGGCTGCAATTCTATACACATATTTGTAACTAAGCCCCACTGAACTCAGTGGGACTATGTCTGATTAAATATGCATAGAATTGCCATGCAGAAATGTTTAACTTGTGATTCAACTATATAGCTGCAAACAAAACATTTAAGTGTGCTGTAAAGTGCATTATACAAATATGACATTAGATGGTGATGGTGAGCTATGGCAAATTCAATATATTTTTCAAAACGGTTTTTTTAAAAAAAACCATTTTCACAGCATTTTTTATATGTGTCTAGATTCTACTTTGGTATGGATTGTGCCTTGCTATTTTTCTTGACCTCTGCTATATTTCATTGCTTGTGGTGCAAGATTAAAACTCCCTTTTTAGTAGAATATTCAGTAGCTATTTCTTCATGTCCTCTAGCGCAACCTGGTTTTGTTTCTGTGCTGTAACCTGAGCTGGTGATAAAGTGAGATGTTGGCATTCCCAAATGCCTGATACATTTTTCTTCTCTTGGTTGCTGTTTCAGAGTCAGCACAAAACAAGCTCAACCAAAGAAGACATTGAACCGTTCTTATGCATCATCCTGCCGGCTACCATGATGCTCTTTCTGGCATTCCTGTTGCTCTTCCTTTACAGACGCTGCCGACGTCGCAGCCCTCAGGCTCAGATCTTCAGCATTGACCTCCCAGAGTCCCTTCCAGAGCATGAGGTGACTGACTTTCTCTCAGTGCTGCCCTGGAGCAGTGAGCAGAGCTTTCATTACTCCACTCTCCTCCCTGAAACTGCCTTCCTCACTGTATGCTTGCCTCCGTCATACGAGGAGGCGACCATGAAAACCTCAATGGAAGAGGACCACATCCAGCTCTTTCAAGATCCAGTGCCTCCTTACGAAGAGACAAAACAGCAGTAAAAGCTACGGAAATAACTATGGCTGCAGTTCTCGTGGTTTAAAAAAAAGGGGGGGGACTCCAAAAAAGGGAATAGCTACAATCATAAAGGAACTTTGACCGGTTAATATGCTTAATTATGCCATTTTTAAACGGCACAGAAAGCAAAACAAAAAAACTCTACAAGATTGTTGTGTAGGAGAAAACTATGAACTTAATGCTGTACCTCAGATTTTTCTGCACTATTTGACATAAGCAAAGGTGTTTTGGAAGGCTAAGTCTGAGCAATGTGGACTGTAGCAGCTGTGGTAAAAAACAATTATGCTGGGGATTTTTTTTACACAGAGAGACACACACACACACCAATAACTGAAAGGGCTTAATGTTTTTTTAAAAAATTGCACTAACTTGTTGAAGATTTTAACGAATAGTCAAAAGTCAAAATAGAGACTGCAATGACAATTAACATGAATCTGAAAAGTGAGGGCTGAAGATGCCTATTTACCAGTTAATACCATCCACTATGTTTGGCAGTGGGCTACTGTTACGCTACAGGCCTTCCATTGTTCTTCTGACAGCTGTGAAGTCTGAATACAAGTAAAAACGACTCAGAAAGGTCCAGGCCTTCTATGGAAGACAGACTTGTGGCAAGTAATGACACAACAATGCAGCAATGCGATAGGGTCTACAGAGTGTACAGAACGGTTTCACGTTGTTTTATACTTTTAATTAAAGAATACACAAGTCATGTAACCATTCAGCTCCGAGTGTGTGGTGGACTAAATCTAGCTAAATAAAAAAAAAAGGTGTTTTTTTTTAATCACCTTTTAGTTTGCTTCTGCTCCCCACCCCATTTCAAACAATGAGTCCTGCACTGGGAGAAAGGTGGGACATAATATATCTCTGTCTGCATGGGGATAGATGGTAACCACAGAAACATAAACTATATAATTCATCCGATGGTGGTACCATGCCAGATAGCTCCCTTTTTGGCTGAAGAGTAGGATAAAACTAATTAGAAATAAAGAACAAACCTCTGTCAAGGATATATCTGAATGTGCAGTCCAGGGTTTGTGTGCAGTTAATTAGGGAGTTGGATATGAGGATAGTTTCAGCTTTCATTGCCATCAATAGTGAATAGCATATTATTCTCTTTTTCCCTTTATAAGAATTTGCAGAATAAAGTCAGTACGTTTTAGCAACCATGCCACTCCCGGTGTTATATTCCCCATCTCTTGGTCACATTACACCCTTATGTATTTGATTTCTTGCCATTTAAATTTTTACCCTTTGTGCCAATCTTCAATGAATCAATCAATAATTTTATTCCTATGCCACCTTTCCACAGTACAAAGCATGCTCAAGGCTGCTTACAACGTGAAAAAATACACAATTACAACACAGCAAAAGTATTCATAAACAAAACATCAGAAAATGCACAACCAATTGGAACAACTTCCATGCAAATCACAATAAGAGCTAAAATAAAGATACAATATATATATATCACTAACAGCAACAACCCCCCACTAATCCCTTAAACAATACCCCAGCTCAAGATTCTTGATGTTTGGGACAAATTAATGTGTGTGAGAGAGTGAGAGAGAAGGCAGTCTACACAGCCATATTCATAAATGTAAATATGCAGTAACTAACAAGATAGCTGAATTCATGGATTTCATAGGTCAGTTTGCACAACTAGCAGTGGTATCTAAAGTTAGTTATAGTCAGTTGGATATCATCCCGGAGCTTTAATGCAGTATTGATTAATGGAAAGTTTTTATTTGATAACAACCTCACATGGCCATGTGCATTGAACCAGGGACAAATAATTTCCTGGTGAATTAATTTTTACCTCAGATGACCTATGTGGGTGCTACATTCACACCAGTTTCAAGTAAACTTGAATCCAGATAGAGAAATCATTTCGTAATGAGCCAGTAAATAATGAGTTATTCGGCTTCACTTCATCAATATCAAATCAGCACCATTAAGATTATTCTAACATTCTATCAGCATATGACCTACATGACACAGTTTTTAGCCTGGTTCCTTACTTATTCTTCATAATTATTATTATAATTGTTATGGAGCACTTGGAGGTCAATAGGGGGCCAATAGGCCAATCTTATTTAAAATCAAGCTAACTGACAGAGGCTTAAGAAACTGGATTATTTGGTATTGCATTGAAGTAATAAATATTGAGGAAAACTAATACAGTCGGACTTCCACTAATCTGCAATTTTGACAAAGTTTTACTTTCCATTTCTTGACATTCTACTGAACTAAGATGTTTTATGGAAGCCTAACATTCTACAACCATGAAATAAATTGTCATTTGCCTAGCCGCCACCCCTCTCACTTCATTGCATGCAGATCACTAGTGTACTAAGGTGACCTACATGGCCAATAGCAATAGCTAGGGCACCCAGGAGCAATTGTGTCAGTGGCTCTACGCATCTCACAGTGTGATGAGAGTCTCAGCAAGTGCCAGACATCCTCCGGAGTGTTAAGGAATACAGTGATTTCTGTCTCTGTGGGTGGACCATCATATTGGTGCCCCACCCTTGCAGAATGAAGTGACCATATCCAGCCCAACTCTGTGTAGAATAATATTTATGCTTATTATTTGCTGGCTGCCAATTCATTTCTGGGCCCAATTCAAAGCGCTCACATTAGTATTTACAGCCCTAAATGACTTAGGCCCCAAGTATCTGAAAGACTTGTCTCCTTCCCTACAGATCCTCCTGGGTGTTTTGATCAGCCCTTTTGCTGGTTATACCTCCCTAAGTAGTTTCGGGGGTGGTCTGAGAGAAGGCATTCTCTGTGGCAGCCCCAAACAGATGGCTTTTTAATAACAGAGCTTTTGGCAAGTGCTGAAGATACATCTCTTCACCCTGGTCTTTTGAGATGTGTTTTTTCAAGACCCAGCCTATTCCTGTGATCACAAACTGCTTAACCTGCTTTAATTTTCAAATTTAAATTGTTGTAACTGGCCCCAGGACCTGCTAGTGAAGGGCAGGTAATTAATTCCATAATGATAATGGTAATAAGCCTTATTCGTGCTAGTTGGAGGGGGAAATGGTATAGAAGAAAATTCCTGGATGCCAAGATCCAAGTTCGGGGCAAGTACTCTTTGGTGAGAGAACTCCATCAGAGAGTTAAAACTACACAGTATGCAGCAAAGTAAAGTGTGGAAATATAGGCCGTTAAGACTTTTAAAATGCATCTTTCCAAGCAGTCCTCTTTTTCCCCAGCATAGTAAAAGGACACACATTTAGTACGGTAAGTTAAAATGAGTGTACTTACAAACTCTCCAAAGGCCAGGCTCATATGCTTTCCCATACATCAGTCTGAAAGGTCGCGCAGGCAGCAAAATTTAGTTTTGTTCCAAAGTGGTGAGAGTTCCTAAATTGTTGGCATAGGAACTTAAGAGTGGCCTGTGAGAGCCATGCAGGTTGAACTAGCACAACTTGCTCAGACCTCCTCATCTGCCACAGGTCCTGTGAATCAACAACATGTGATTGCCTACATATGGTAAATTAGAGCACAGGTGATCCTGAGAACTACTGATGCACCTCTCAACATCTGCCATCTCCCTCCTGTCTCGGTCTCCCATTTTCACAGTTGACATGACACTGATACAAGCTCATGCAAAACTACTCAGGATATAAATGATGAAATACAGTTTTCTTTCTGGCCATTAGTCATCTTCTTCCTATTCTGTTCTCTCACATTTTATTCTATCAAACTGTGGCAAATTTTATTGCAAAGGAGAACCATTGATCCTTCTTCAGAATCTGTCCATATTGCTTTTGTGATGTAGGAGGAGGGATTTGCTGAAGGGGTGGAGTTTATTTCTAGATTGGTCACAGCTGTGGCATGGTGCAATTATTACTGGCAATTCTAATAGTGAGCTTTTGTGCAAGATGAGATGTGAGAGAAGAATCCATTCCATAAAGCTAACATTACTCATCAGCCAGCACAGTGGAGCGTCTTAACAGGGAGGAGGCAATACAGAAGGGTGAAATCAGGGATGCAAAGTAATAACAGAGAACAAGACCAGGTCAAAAGTAAGCCTCTTATGAACCTGCTTTCCTCTCCCTTGTTTCCCAATCTCCAACTATCTCTCAGTCTATTTAATTAACTTTTACATCAGATACACAAAAAGGAATACAAAAGCTGCAGCCTTCATTCTATATAGTGACTTTTTCAGTCTCTCAGATTAAAGCATGCATGTGTCATTTCCTAATAGGAATTTTGAAAAAAAACCCAACTTGTTCAGGACAAATTACTTTACAAGAGAACAAAGGTGCAGAAAAGGTAGTGACCTTGTTATCACAAGTAGCAGCTGAAGCAGTAAACCTTAAACCTTTAAAAAATACAGTATTTGTTGTATTTTTTGTCAAACTTGAAGTAATGTCATTATCAGAATCAGGATAACTGAATAGTTGTGTGATAAATTTAACTGTTCAGAACTCCTTTCTAAGTTCTTGTAGTAGTCCAAGCTTTAGGGCAACGAATCTCTCCAAAAGGTTGCTTGGTCTCCTGGCTGCCACTAGTCTATCATTCACATAAACTAGCCTGAGACAACCAGCAGGAGCTCACATGATTGAATGTCCCTCCATTTTTAAAAAAAATCAATCCACCTACATAGAAAACTTTCACAAAACCTAAGGTAGAAGCTTCTCTGTGATATCTACTTTTCTATGGGGGTGGGGTTTGTTTTAAGAAGAACTCATTCACGCGAGGCCCCCATCTGCAATTTGAAGTGGCATCATGTGGACATAGGCGTACCACTTCATTAGTTGTCTATGAGGTCTAAACTCCATGAGGCTTTGTTGGTGGGCACTGCCTGGTTAGTGTTGACATGTGACAGGGCCTTCTTAGTGCTGGTTCCTTGTTTGTGGAATGCCCTCCCTCATTACTATCAGGAGAAATTTAAAAAACATTACTGTTTATCCAAGTATTTGATGACAAATAAGATATTGCTCCCGGCTGAGATCCCTGAAATCACTGGTTGAGATTATTCTCGTAAATGTTTTTAGAATGCTTTTATAATTTTTCTTTCGCTCTTTGCTTACTATTGATGGATTTTTCTGCCCTAAATTCCTTCAGGATGAAGGATAGGGTATAAATTGAATTAATGATTATGCTGCTTTATTGCTTTGATGATGATGATTAACTGCACAATTAAAATCATTACATAATTTATCTCATTAAATATAAATCAGTAGGAAATAAATAAAACCATATAAAGCACCACAGCCAGCCTCCTCATTCCCAGCACAAGATACTGCCACACTCAGCTTACTTGAACCAAAAACCAAAAAGAAAAGGCTCTGGGCGGCAGCAAAACACAACTCTCGGGGGAATAAGTTCCATAAGCAGGAAGAAAAAATGAAAATGCCCTATCATGTGAGCCTGTCAGTCAGTCTATCATACTAGATGGAAGATCCATAAGCAGAGCCACTGAGGCCAATCTCAAGACCTCCAGAGGTTCATATGGGTATAAATGCTCCTTCAAGCAGCTCAGTCCTAATGTACCGATCTGGTGTGAAAATCATGGCAGTACCTATCTCGGGCCAGGATTCCACACTATACGTATTCCATGCAATGGTATTGACTGTGAGGAACAAAACAAAGCAATACATGAGCAACAGAGGATCGCTGGTGCAGATGTACAGCTGTCTTCTTTGGGGTAAGGTGCTACGGTGGTACAACTGTGCTGTTTCTGTGGAACTGCAAGAAAGTTTAGCACTGTCACGAACAGCAGATGGGAGAAGAGACCTGCTTAATGCCACACCAGTATGTGATATTTCATTTAAGCAGGCAATGATGATTATGCAACTATGTTCCCTTGTTCTCCTCTCCCTCTTCCACCACGTATGGTATCATTATCAGAGCTGATCACATTACAGAGCCAGGCCTCATTTATGTGACCTTCATAAACATTTTTTGTCAGAGGTTTAGCCAGTTTAATGCCTGAAATGTGTGTCATATACTTCTGGAGCAACTACAGTTTAAAGAGCATCAAACCATTTAAGGGGAAAAAATAAAAATCCACATTCTAGATATTATCTCTGCATCAACTAATTCTCCCTAAATCTGATTTCCACTCGAGTCTGGGCCTTCATTTATGAAAGCAGATGCAACATAATTGCTTAATATACCAGCGACTTTGTATCCACTGGTTCTAATTCCCTGTCAGTCTTCCTTACCAAAGGATGATCTTTTCCCTCCCCAGCTCCTGGCTGCTGTGTCTGTGCTTGGAAAGCCTTTTATAGTGTTATAAAGGCTTTGCCTATTGGCTTCACTGCACAAGTGGGCGACTGCAAATTTTTACTAGGGTTGCTTTGTGTGTCACCATTATGCCCACTTCTAGATCTTATTTGTTTACATCTTTAGCTGAAAGGTCGCAACAGGGAGAGTTGGTGATTTTGCAATGCCACAAATTAAATTATATTTTCACCTCTCCATTCCTGGGCTATACTTTTCTTACTTACCTGGAGCTACCAGCTTCAGTTCAACCATTTCATTTCTAGAAAGCAACCGATAAATACCTGGGCTCTGGTCCATTTTTGCTATGGAGAACATTCCTAGCATGTGGAGATGCTGTTCATCCCTAAATGTGTCAGGGAACTATGAATGTCTTTTTTGCTTCTCACCCCCACCCGCAAAAAAATTGCAATTCTGCAGGAGGGGCACTTGTTCCCTTTGCATTTTAAGAGAGGGTGTTGAAAACTTAAACTCTTTGGTCTGCAATCCACAAAACACTTGTCGGTGCTGCTTCTCAGACTGAAAACATTTAATCTGCGGGTCGCTCCGAGAGCAACTCGCGTGCCAGAAGTTTCGCCCGCGTTTCTGCTTCTGCGGACCACTTTCCTCAGAGGAGCCTCAGAAGATGAGAATATGCGGAGGAGCACGAGCCAACAAGGCGCCCCCGCGCATTCTATAGTACGGGGGGGGGGGCACATTTGCGCTCCTAAAGGAGGCGATGCATCTCCTCGCAAAGTTGGGAGTAGGAGGAAAAGAGAGCCAAGGCGCGCGAATGCCTTCGGCTTTCAAAGGGCCCTTGTCATCTCGGCCGCCCCCCCCTTTTCCCTCCTCCCGCTTGAGGCATATGACAATCTGCCATTAGCTCACTCCCGCATCCCCCAGAATGGCTTGGGGGCCAGCCAGCCAGCACAACAAGCAGCATCTGACACCAAGCGGCACTGCAGGGCCAGGAGGAGCGCGCGCCCGTTCCCCGCCCACCACCGTCGCCAGCAAAACAGCCGCTCTCGCTCCTCGCTCCCCACCCCTCGCGCGCGCGCACCCTCTCACACGTGCGAAGCTGCTCCTTTGAGGGCAGCCAATCCGGACGCCTCTCGTAGGCTGGCTGGAAAGGCGGCCAAGTGCCCCCCCACCCCCCAATGCCGTCAGCGGCTCTTCCTCACAACTTTGCAAGGGGGGGGCGTTGTTTGCTCCCCTCCTTTGCAGCATAGTGTCCCAGGCCACCTCCCCTCCCCGCCCTGGGTGTTTCCGACGCCACGGAGAGCGTCGCCTGAAATGTTGTTACACAAGGCGCCGGGGCCTTATGCAAGGAGAGCGAGGGAGAGACGGAAGGTGCTGCCGGCAGACAGAAAGGCAGGAGTCGAGCCGAGAGCGAAGGGGGATATGGGTAGAGGGGATGCGGCGGGGGGATTTGAAAGGGCAACGGGGGGGGGAGATTGCGAAGGTTGCGCTTTGGTTTCTGCTTTAGGGAAGCTGCGCCTTAAAAAATAAAAATAATACTAGGCGCAGCTTCTTGCAATACATTTCCATACTGGGGGAAATGTTTGCACCAGTTGCTTTTCTGCATACCCCGTTGAATACAAAGGGAAGAGATGTGCAGGTGCACATGCAGAACGTGGAAGGGAAGCTCTAACGTCGTTCCTTTTCTCCACCCAGGATGCTGAAGACTATAAAACAAGCCCTCTTCTCTACTGGGCTGGAGATGCCCAAATGGACAGCCCTGCCAAACCAGGTGACCAGCGTTTATGGTTGTTGTTGTTTTTAATGACTGGAAGGTGACTTTCCGCTTAATCCTTGATCGCGTCCAGTAAGTGGAAGGGGAAGAGATTTGCACACATGCATACACATGTCCCTGAGCGGAGTCCTAAACACAAATTGCTTGACTAAATATGTGATCAAATGGGCGACACCTAAGCAGGTTCATTAGGTATGAGAGTTCCCTATTGCAGCTGGAAATATCACTGTTGCCAAAAAGTCTAAATTTTGTGTTCAGCAAGACTTCACTGGAAGATGGAAGAACTAATGCAAGTATCCCAGGGAAAATAACATGAAAACATCCAACAGACATAATTTAATATAGCATTGCCCCCTCCCCTGGGTATTATCCTAAGCCTCTCTGTTGACTCCACATTTTGTCTATGTATTGACGTATGTAGTAGGTGGATGTAAAGGGTTTTTTAAATGCACAAGGAGTGCTTTGAAAGCAAAGTTATGAGGTACTGTGGTTGAGTAATGCAACAGTGTAAATGAGTTTGATTAACCTATTATTATTTTTGAAAATACCTTCAGATTGCAATTTAAATCTATGTCATTGATTAAGGATAACCTTGCATTACTGAGAGAACCTGAAGTTTGGACTCTGTTAACATGAACACCATGCATTTTTTCTTGGTAAAAATAAATATTTACAAATACATCTTTAAAATGTTAAATGTTGCAGGTTTAAAAGTTCTGAACATGTTTAATCATCAGTGGCTGCAGGAAATATATGTGTTCAGAAACAAATTTTAATGCTGAGCTCTTCTAGGACAAAAGATTGTAGAAGTGAACTTTGGCTTATAATCCTTCTGTGTGGTTTTCAGCCTTTGAAGGTGGAAAACAGTGGGCTAGGAAAGCAGGGAGGGAGAAATGCATGCTAAGGTGTTGTGAGAGGAAAGCTAGCATCTACATACAGATACCCAGCCAGATATTAGGTTCCTGTTCTCAAGTGGATCATCCGATTGAGTATTGCAACATTGGTGCTCAACTCCCACAAAGACTTCCTTATTGCCAAAGTAAACAGCAAGCTCATGTAACATTTCTCCCAACTTTTTTAAAAAAAGAAAATCAGCTGGGGTTGGGGAGGGGAAGACCGCTGGGGTGAAGAACAACGTAACCCTCTTCCCTCTGCAGGGGCTTTGCTATGTATTTAAAAGATCTGAGAGCACAATGCAGTAGCTCCCCACCCTCTCTATTCATGAGAAATGGGGTCGTGTGGTGGTGGTGGGGGGCTGAATGTTCAGAAATATTCAGCTGGCACCTGCTCTTGTTTTTTAGATGCTTTCATGGGATTTTCCAAATTACCATGTTGCTTCTGCTATTTCTTTTACTGGGCCGTGTGGCTGGATGAATTTTAATTTAAGTTTTTATTTGATCATTGTTAGTGGTTTTATAAACCACCTCAAAGACTCAGTCACAAAAAGGCAGAATGCCTATACTTCAAACAAATTTTAGACCAGAGTTCAAATCCCCACTCACCCCATGAAGCTCACTGGGTGACCTTGGTTCAGTCGCTGCCTCTCGGCCTAACCTCCCTCACAGGACTGTTGTAGGAAGTAATTAAGGAGCAGGGAAAACCTTAGGAAAAAATGTGGGTTATAAATAAGTAAATATTCTCCAGGATTTGTCATTGGTCCCCTTAACATGTACCAGGAGGGCAACTGTTGCATTAAGGGAGCCCCAACTGTTAAGGGGCAGCTGGGTCTCCTCCAGGCTCCCCGATTACTGCTTCCCTTTTTATTCAAACCATTGATTGCCATGCAAAACTTCCAGTGGCAACCCAAACAGTCAAGCAGATTGTGGTCTTCCAACAAGATGGATGAAGAAAAAACTCTGTGGCACATTTATTCCTCCTCCTCCTGCCCAAATACACTTAAGGACTGAACCTGGCTTTTCCACGTGATGCTGCAGCAGAAACGCCTTCAAATACTTACAAAGTTCTTCAGCAGCTGTGCTGGTGGGCCCAGTGCTTTCCTTTATAGTGCTGGGGGTTAAGCGGCTGCAGTCACTGTTTCCACCACCATCTTCCTTATTTCTCAATGCTGCTAAGCTCTGTGGCATCTCCTGCCCCCAATATACATATCAGGAGTGAGGCCCTGATTCACTGAGAATAACAAAGTTATTTTATTTATTTACTACTCTTTATGTACCATAGTTCCTGCAAGGTGGCAAACATAGTTCTCCCACTGCCCATTTCACCCTCACAACCACGCTGGGACCAGACAATACATTTTTAAAAAGAGAGGACCTGGGACACTCAAAGATGACTTGTTTACCTGGGATTAACAGTGCCTGGGGTTAGTGGTAATTTCCCCACTCAAAAATTGTCTTCTACAAGCTGTTTTTCCATCATGGAGAACAGTGAGCTTTCACTATTTAGTTGGAAAAATATCAGGAAGTCCACTTTGAAAGGGAAACTGACCAGAGGAGAAAAAGTTAATCAGTTCCTCCTCCCCGCCCCCCATTCAATTGCTCTGGGTGGCAACCTCCTATTACTACTATTCATGAAAATAAAAGCAGTAGCAAACTGCATCTGCTATATGGAGTCTACTTTGGCCCTAAGCTCTTGATCTGAAGGAGTGTGTATGGGATCAGTTTGCAGAATAGGAATGGTAAATGACACTAGTGAAATAAAATCGAGGAAAGAGATTGGTTTGTGTGTTTTTGTAACAATTCACAGCCCTTATCACAATATGCATTGTGATAGGCATTTCCTCTGTCTAGAGCAGGGGTAGTCAACCTTTTTATACCTACCGCCCACTAATGCATCTTTCTTGATGGTAAAATTTCCTTACTGCCCACCAGTGCTCAATGGAAGGAGGATCCAGCTTGTGCCGTAGAACCCCCTACCGCCCACCTGAAACGCCCACTAGGTAGTGACCAGGTTGACAACCCCTGGTCTAGAGACAATAGGGAACACAATTTCATTTACTCGTTTTTAGTTGTGGTTCCTACTTTTAAAGAGTTCAATAACTATGCAGAGTTTATTGTATGAAAATTACCAGGTAACAAGTCTTGATTTGTCTCCCGTGGTTTTTTTCTTAAGGCTTCTGATTATGAAATTCGACAGTATGAACCAGCCAAATGGGTTTGCACATCTGTTAAAACTGTGGACTGGGATTCAGCTATCAATACTGGTTTTACTAAGCTCTTTAATTATATTAAGGGCAAGAATGAAAAAGGTAAGGTGTGTTTTGCTCTACTTGTGTTTCCCTTGAAATCAGCTTCCCTTTGGCGGGAGACAAACACTAAGCACACATTCTTCCTCTTCTTCTTGAAAATATACCTCAGGTGTGTCTTTTTGGTGGGGGAATGTGAGAAATAGTAAAGGAGAGAATCCAAATTTCTAACTAAAAACCCAACATCCCAAAGGAATTTTAGTGTTGGAAAACACAGGTGATGTCATCTAGTTCAGTCTTATTTCAGGTTGAGGTCCTGATCACTCTGGTACGGATTAGAGATGCTCTTGCTTCCTTCATACCCCCTGCAATCGTAGCAATCTATTCCTGTTTTATTCCATCCTTTCTGTTGTAATGTTTTGATAATGTGTTAAGTGTAGCTAGTAATATCTTGCCTCTTGCAGGAGTAAAGATAGACATGACAGCTCCAGTGACATGCTATGTGCAGCCAGGTGCTGGCCCATTCTGTGAGTCCACAACAACCGTCTCTTTTTACGTGCCACCTCAACACCAGGCAAATCCACCTAAGCCATCAGAGGCAGATGTCTTCATTGAAACGAGGCCAGCAATTACTGTGTTTGTCAGGTAAGCATGTGCGACTATAACCTGCACCAGGTGTGGAGAACTACAGCTCCCTTTCCCTAGCCATTGGCCATGCTGGCTGAACTGTAACTCCCATCAACCCCAAGACTACCTCTGTGTGGCCAACACCATTTTTGTAATTTATCTTGGAAAATGTCTGCTAACTTTGACTGCCACCTTGTGGTAACTGTATTTTGTCAAGGTTTTATGTGTTTCATGAAGGTGCATATATGGGAGGTGGAAGAAACTGGAAAGAAAAACTGCTGAAATTAGAAGTTCAATAAACCTTCTTGGAGGCTTTAATAGGGAAGATGAGCCATTTTCCCCATTAATATTTCTGCTACAGTTCTTACTGCTTTGTGGAGCTGTAAAAATCCAAACTGCCTTCAGGCGAGCCACACAGTCCTAGTGAAATGTATTTGTGTAAACAAGAGCTTTCTCCAGTGCCTTCTCGTTTCGTAGTGTCTGTGACATTAAAAGCTGTTTTATATATACTGAGAGGCTCTACAAAAACCTTGGAAATCGATGTCTGCATTATGAGGAGGCACTGTGATGGGTGGTTTTGTCTCCACAAATTCATATATATATAAATGAACTGGTGCCTTCATGTCGGTGCTCCATCCTGGCCCAGGTTGCAAAAGAACTGCAGTGATTTTTTTGAGACACTAGTTATTAAAATCATAACCCGTTGTGTAGACAGCTTCCATGTAGCTACGCTGGTTCACACAAACATAGTGTCCAAGAAATTACTGCCCAAACTCAAGCTCCGTGGCATTGTCACAGGATCTAGCCATGCATGTGAAGTGGCTTGTAGAGTTTCCCATGTTCCCACAATGCAGGCCATATAAGTTACTGCTGTCCTTGCTTGTAGAAGGAGATTGAGCAGTTGCCACACAGCAGCTTTCAAAATGTATACACGAGAATGTTGCAGAGCAAGAATCTTTGAATCCCTCTGCAATGAAATGGAAAGGATTCCTGTTTCCTCAACATAAATTTAGTTACATATAAATGAAATCACTGATTTGGACCATCGTAGGTAGAAAAATTGCTTTTCTGGGGCATATATTTTACTAATACTGGTTTATGAGTGTTGATTCCATGTGGCTTGCCTACATTTGTCTATCACGCACACAGGTGTTCTACTTAGAACATAAAACAGTAGTCTCAACACATACAGAATACTTTGTTTTTTTGTTCTCAACAGATCTTTTGGAGGATTTGCCAATGCTAAAAAGAACCAGGATGAAATACTGGCACTTGCTGAAAGTCTGAAGCGGGATGGAAAAACTTTTCAAGAAAAGGTCTATTATACTGCTGGCTATGATAGTCCATTTAAATTGCTGAACAGACACAATGAAGTTTGGCTTATCAGGAAAAGCTAAAACCTCAACAATTCAGATTATAGCCTTAATAACCATAAGTGCCCTTAACTAAATATATTTCCTAATATTTTCCTACTTAGCCCATTGCCTTAATATCTATCAGTGCCAATATAATACTTGTTTCGCAATGTTTATATATAACTATATAATAAAACTTCCAAGTGGTTTACAAAAATGTAAGATGGCTGTATAGGTTGCTATAGTGTGGCTGCATGTGCAGCCATGCATCACAGTGAACATGTGACCAGACTGTCTCTTTCTGCAGGCAATTTCACTGTCCTTATAGCTGGCTCAACTCCACTGACGTCAGTATGGGAACATTATAGCTTCTGAACTGCTATGCAGATTCCATACTCCTAAGGCACGGGTAGGAAACAAGACATAAGCAGTTCTCAGTTGATTAGGGTAGCGGAAGGTAGGAATGCACAGGCCCTGATCTCTGATTTTAACTAACGCATGTTGAGCACAAGATTCCTGCATTGCAGAGAATTGGACTCGATTACCCTCGTAGTCCCTTCAATCTCTCCAATTCTGTGATTATATGTTCCTTTTTACTGCAGCCTTTTAAAAACAGTAGTTAAAGGGTCCATTTCAAAAGGAAGGAAGCCAGGCCTCTTCAGATGTCCTGTAATAGTTATGGTCTCAATGGCCTAATTACTAGGGCATTAAGGACCTCCATTGTTGCCCCTTCAGTAATTACTGAATCAGATTTTGGGGTAGGAAACTGATGCTTTAATGGGAAAAAGGGGCTTACTGTAACCTTTGTAATACTTTTAATAATATTTTGTAAATTTTTTATCCATATTACTTCTCAAAGTTACAGGAATCATTTAAAACCTTTACCATTTTGATATCTAAACTGAGACTAATTTAGATCACGCTGACATCAGTTTTAAGTTTTTGCCTTTGGGCACTTGAAAGGAGGGGGAAATGGCCCTCAAACCAATTGGAATTTGATGTGCCTGCCTTAATGTTCCTTCTCACATTATAGATACATCAAGAGATCTTTCATAGAAACCTATGTGCCATGTTGCCACAGTGAAGATGCAGTGTAGGTCAACTGGAGGGTGGTGCTGGAATAGCCACTTACATGGGCATATTTTCATGGGGAAGACAACATGTGGTGCCCATTCTCCAGTACTTTATATTAAATGGACAAACTGGTAATTTTCAGCACATTAAAATATTCAGTTATTAGGCTTTTGAGGGCTTTTCGCCTTTGGAATTTTGTAAGGTGCTATATAATAATTTTTAAGTTGTATAAAGTGTGACTTTTGTAAAACCAAAATGTTAAATCAAATAATTGACACTGAAAACTACCGACGCTGATGTTGCCAAACTGTAGTGCTGCTCCTAGCAAATAGATCATACACGTGAAGACGTATCAAAAATAATATGAAGGGGTAGTGTTTACTTGCACATTTAAGTTTTAAGCTCTGAAATGTCGCTAGCCAGAAAAGCCTTGTGTTTGTACTGAACACATAGATGAGCTTGAAAGTGGACTTGAAACCATTTGACAGGCTGTCAGTCTTTAGAAAGATATAGCATCTATGGGAACATGTGAATTAACAGGAAAGGCTGAATGTTGTTACTTTCTTATACACTTAGCTTTAAAAAAAATATTTGCCAGTTAATGTATCTGCTAATGCGAGATGCTAATAGTATGTGCAATCTATTTACACTAGCAGCTGTGACAGATGAATGGAAAACACAATGGATGTTTTCTTAGCACCTGCTCTAACAGAAACCAGCAGCTTCGTTCAGCTGCAGAGAGAAATGCTACAAAGCTGCCTATTTCAGTGGTAATAATATAAATAATGTGTCCCATTGTCGCCAATAAAATTTGTCATTAATAAATACAACTAATTTTTAAAAAAATAGTTTCCTTTGTTCTGAGGATATCATAATGGTGTATTTTTCCAGCATCCATAAACATCAGGCTTTGGGAAGCAAAAAGTGTTCATTTATCAATTCCCCCCTTACTTTGTAACAATTTACATGTTTTAGAACATATAGGACACAACATGAGTTGGAGGAGAGAAGAGGGGCAACTGTGTAGTTCCCTGAAAGCAACCATTAGACACACTTAGGGCTGGATTCAACAAATGCAGCACACTAGCAGAAGCCCCTGCTAGCTCAATGGGGTCTTCCTTATTCCCCCATGCCTCCCCCAATCCACTCTGGAGGATCAGCAGAACCCTCAGAAGAGTATATGGGGTGCAAAGATGGGGGCGGGATCATCCTGTTTGGCAAACAGAAATGCTTGTGCTGATGGAACGATGAGAAGAGTATGACATTGAATTCCTCCCTGAGCAAGGAGAGCAGAAAAAACGTATTGCTGTGCAGCTTAGGAAGCGGAGGCTCAGTCATGGAACTATATAGGGCATGATCCACTAAATCTAATAGCTGTGATCCAGTGGCCTCAGTTTACACACAGGGAGATACCATTCCTTTTTGAGAGAGGCACACCTAATAGGAAATCACCGTATTTACACAAACAGCTTCTCTTGAATAGAAAACTGTTAGGGGCTTTAGATTTTGACCAGCAGGCTCAGTCGCATCTATGCCTCCTTGTGGTCTATGCCTCTTACCCCCTTTAGTAAGACCATAAGCTTGTGTTCAGACCTACCTATTCCTCATGTTCAAGCCTGCCACAAACCCTTGCTCTGCCAGGCTAGCGTTCAGTATAACAGCACCCCCAGATTTTCAAGTGTTGCATTATTAACTCTAGCCACAAGATGACAAATGGCAGCCTTGTTTATTGATGCAGTCACAGGATTGTCCCCATCCCCTTCTCGAGTTGAGTGAAGGCCACTAAAATTTATAGAACTAACAAAGAACAGAGATGGAGAGAAAAAGAGCCAAGTGTTTTTCATCAAAATAAATTATCTACATAGAGGAGGGTTGCTTTTTTCTTTAAAAAATGTAAAAATGTAAAAAGTCCAACACTGGTAGGGCAAAGGCTACCTCAAGAACTTGTATTATGTACAAACATTATAAAAACAGAAGACTAACAACTTATTCAAAATTCATTTTCCAAAAAACCCAACAATCCTGTGATCAAAATCACAGCTGATATTTTAGCTATCAGTTATATTCTTTACAAATAAGAAAGTAATATATATATATATCTATATATTTAAACACACTGGTAAAGACTCAATAAAATTAAGCAAAGTCTCCTAAATTGTTAAGTTTATTTTCCCATATCAAGGAGATGCTGACTGTAGACAAAAAAGTAAAACTAATTGTAGTGTATTCTTTGGTAACCAAAAGTTAGCAAGTGTTTCAATATTCCAAGTGATATGTTGCTTAAAACTTTCCCATTTTGACAAATATAAGAAAAACTGGTAATTCCCAGTTTAATTGAAAAGAAAAGGGTACCATTTGCAGTTATATACTATAAGCTCTCAAATCGAGAAGTTAATGGCCATTTGCTTATTATTATTATTTATGCCTCACCCCATCCCAGATTTACCTACATCTTCTTTACAAATCGGCAGCCATTTATTTTAGGTCTTCTATAGGACATCATAATTTCCATTCAAAGAAACAAATTCACCTATGAGGTCTTTTTCTTAAGAACCCAATAGATGGACTGTAATATACCCACACAGCATTCACTTCTGTATTACAATAGTGCTTCTTTCCTGTTGCGTTTTTTAAAAAACAGTAATTCAGAATCTGGCCAGTCTGTTTGTTATGCTATCATGACATGGTTAGACCAGCAGAGGACCCCCTACACAAACTAGAAGAAACAGTGGGACAACAGCCAACACGGCTAACTACTAGGCCACATATTCTATCGTTCCCTGCTCAAAAGAGATTACTAGGTTTCATAAATATAACACTTTGAAAGCTGCTGCCCCCCTGTACCACAGAAGCTCCCCATTTTCTCTGTAGGCTTACTTTAATTTTCTACACTCTTTTAAAAAAAAAAATTCACACACAACCCAGAATCTGAAAATATTAGTTTCTTTTTTTTATCTAAAGGATTTTAATGCTTTAATGGACTGATCTGACTTAGTTCCATTTAAACTAAAAGTCACATCCATTTAAACTAAAAATCACATCCCATCGAGCCACATAGAGGTATCAGTACTGTAGCATCAATTACCACATTCTAAATACTTGGCGAAGTAAACTGTACTGATTAGGGCTTCCCGCTAAGTCTGGGTCATTTTGTATACCTTATGAAAGCTGTGACATCATAGTGCCTTCTTAATCCTCACCCTTTTTTCAGTTGACGGCACACATATTAAAATAATTTTGTATCAACCAGTTATCAAGTCTGGGTGAGTTGTACTGTTCTCACTGGAGCCCACATCTTCATTAATGTCCATTTCATCACTGTCAAACACATCAAATTGTTCCTCGTCTAAAGACCTACAAGTTCTGCTTTCTGCAGGTTCAAATGGTTCCACATCTCCCTCGCTGATAACAGTCATAGGGCTACTCTGGATCCTGTTTCGAACATTGTATTTGCTACTTGCAGCAGATGGGGGGGTTCGAGACCTGCCGTACCTGGCGCTGGAAAAGGACAGACTTCTTGGCATCAGGCCTTCGCTCTTGGCCCATTCTTCCTGGGCCCGTCTGCTCTTGGTAGGAGAACAACTTGTGCTACTGTCAGTGGGCTCCCAGGAAGAATCCGCCTTGGCTCTTTGAAACCTTGGGTCTGTGTTTTTTAGCATCTCTGCTGCTGACATGCGAGAACTGGTATCTGAACGGCTCCCTTTTTTAAGCAGTAGTGCCTTGAAGTTGTCATTGCTGGTGCTACTTTTGCGAATATTTCTTTGAATTGATCCTGCCTGTTTAAGGGAAGCCAGATTTGGAGAAGCACCAGTGGGTGTAACAGGGGGTGATGGCGAATGATTTCGGGTATGGTCATCCTCAGAGTCTTTGCGGCCAAGGACTTTCCTTTTGGATCTATGGTTTTAATGTAGAAGAAAAACATAAAATCAGTATTAGCCTCTCACTTCAATGCTTTTCCTATTTCACATATGAATATTGTAACAAGCAAGCAGATGAATATAAGCTATTACAGAAATGAGTAGGAAGATACTGGAAACAGGAATGGTGACATTCTGATAACAGGAGTCTTGTTCTGAACTGTATTCTCCAGTACAGAACTGAATTAATCCAATTTACTTGCAAGTTACAATATTTCTTTTCTCATTAATATTTTGCAAAGCAAATATTTGAATCTTGCTAAATTGTATTTTCTTAATTAAAACAGCTTTCCAATATAGTAGCATCCTCCAAATTAATATATTCTAGCTACACTTGTCAAGGTTTTCCAAATGAAATTGCCAAAGGGCATGAAATTAATGAAGCCTAAATGAAATCCACATGCTCTGTGGGGAGCTAGGAACATAAGAAGCATTTTACTGTATCAAAAGTAATTAGCACATAGGACATACTATGAAGCTTCATCTAAAAGCAGTTGCATTGACCTGCAAAGAAGGGAAAGGACATCCCTTAAAAACAACAAATTAATTTGTATACAGGGAAAATCAGAAAGTGTATAGGATAAAACAAGGAGTTGGTAAGTGATTAACAAAGATGGTAAAGTACATGTAGTATTCCTTTCAATTTAACACCAATCATATATTAATGCCGTCCAAACACTCCCAACACATTTAAAAATGATACTGATAACAAAATAATATCACTTTTGAAGAAAGCCTTATGTAGATTCACAGTTTAGAAGAAAAGACTGAGCAGTATGTTCACTTGTCAGTCTCAAGGAAGAAACCTCAACCCAAGGGTCTTGGACTCTTGTGTGCCCCTTTGCCTATCCAGAGGGAGAACATAAATGGGCTGGGCTGTTGTATATTTATTTAAATGCTATATATATATAACTGACCATGCAGTAAGTTTTTTTTTTTTTTAAGGGGGGTTGCAGAGATACTGCATACAAACAAATACTGGAAAGGGGGTAAACACTTTCCTGGGTTAAAATAAACATGCCTAAACTATTTGATGATACACATGGACATGCGTGCCTATACTGAAAATGAGTTTCCAGTAAAGTCTAGCATAGCAGTAGCCAAAATGCCCTCCAGATGTTAGAATCCAATTCCCATTATCCCTTATCATTGGCCATGTTGGATGGGGGATGCTATGTTCATTACCCCTGGTTGGGGTACCGATAAAATAATTTTCAAACTGAAAATGGCCAAGCCAAAGCTGGGATTTCAAGAAAAATTAGGGGAAGGGAAGGACCACCTTCTCCATGTTTATTTCAGTTCACTGAGAATGAGATCAACTTGTTGGTTTAAGATCACAAAAGGACCACAGCTCAGTGGTAGAGCATTGGCTTTGCATGCAGAAGGTTCCAGGTGCAAATCTTGGCATCTCCAGCTAGGCCTGAGAAGGACTCCTTACTGGAACCTGGAGAGCCACTGCCAGTGTAGACAACACTGAGCTAGATGGAACAAATATCTGACTCTGGTGAAGCGGCTTCCTATGTTCCTAAAATGCAGAAGAAAAACGAGAGCTATACAAATGTGGACTAGTAGATAAATTGGAAAATTTTGGGGTCAGCAGATGAAAGATATCTAGTACTATGTAACTAGTAAAAACATGTTTTCAGGACTTATTCTTATGTACATTTCACACAAAATACACAGTCTGTATAATTGTGCAATACAGACCAAGCCCCTTGCGAAAAACAAAGAACACCATCCATAGAAAATTAGATGTCCTTAAACACAACTGAAAACTATGGGACATAACTACATTATAAAATTATGCCCATGTTATCTTATTCTATGATTCTCTCCAGTCATAATAGGAAGTTTCATACGACATTCACAGCTGAAGTTTGCACTGTGACACACAACAGCATGAAAAGTAAACATCAACTTGGGGTGTTATCAGTTAATGCATGTTGGTATCCATGGGATGTATCCTCACTCAGTATCTAATTTGAAAGTGGCTGTGTAATCACATCTCAGGTGTTTCCAGAGGATGTTTGCCAGTTTTGTAGTCAACATGCTCAGGGCTTATTTGTTCTTTTACAAGGAAGACTGGGGAGGAAAGGTGAGAGAAGAATGTAAACACTCTTCCCCTACTCACAAATGCAATCTGTGTCTCACATATACACACTGCTCTTTTCCCACACAAAGATGAATGTTTCTCTTGAATCCAAGAGTTATTTAGTTATATCCATGGACTTGCCATGTGTGGTGGGAATTGTTAAAGGTAAAGTAAAGGTACCCCTGCCCGTACGGGCCAGTCTTGACAGACTCTGGGGTTGTGCGCCCATCTCACTCAAGAGGCCAGGGGCCAGCGCTGTCCGGAGACACTTCCGGGTCACGTGGCCAGCGTGACATCGCTGCTCTGGCGAGCCAGAGCCGCACACGGAAACGCCGTTTACCTTCCCGCTAGAAAGCGGTCCCTATTTATCTACTTGCACCCGGGGGTGCTTTCGAACTGCTAGGTTGGCAGGCGCTGGGACCGAGCAACAGGAGCGCACCCCGCCGCGGGGATTCGAACCGCCGACCTTTCGATCGGCAAGCCCTAGGCACTGAGGCTTTTACCCACAGCGCCACCCGCGTCCCGGTGGGAATTGTTACTTTTCTCTAAATATAGCAGACTCCTGTGCCATATTGCAATTCACTTCCTTTCAGTGCCTTTTGGAACTAGTTGAGTGGTGTCTTCAGTCTTGGTTTATATATATGTTTAGTAATGGGAAATATGTAGGGTAGTGGGAAACACGTTACTCTGAAATGCACAACTGTTTGCCATGAAAGGATATCATCCTAGAAGCAAAACTTTTCTACCTTGCAATATTTAACACTACAATATATAAACTGTACAATATATAAACATGATCCAAAATTCCCAACCTCTACTCACATAACATAATGAGAACATATTTGTGCCACTTTCAATTACACTCCCCAAAGATGTTCCAATTCGTGGAGAGAGAGAAATCACCACAAGGTGGCACCAGTAACACACATTAGATATTCCAAGTCAAGATATGTCACTTTCTTTTTAGGGCATTTCCTGTCTGCCCCTTCTAGCTAAAGGTATCTTAAAGTATTTTTAAAAATGGGTTGCATTCTGAAGATCTGTAATCAAAGATATTGTCTAAAGAACTATAATTATTTGTAGAGAATCATTTGCATTTATTTAGCCCTGTGAAATATGTAATAATATGTAATCTTTGCTCATCCGTTGAACTTCCTTCCTTCCTTTAATCAGGAGAGAATGATTGGGGTTAGTCTGTATTGCACATTCGAAACGACAGATCAGTGTGTCACAGAAATAGCTCATCTTCAACTGGATTATGGCAATCTATAATCCAGCTACTGTCATATGTTTTGCCATATGACGGATAGATCATGTTTACTTGCCAGTTTAAGCCAAGCTTGCCATGAAGCATTAGAGTTGAGCCTCTGTCCCAAACTGCACCATATAATCAGCAGAGAAGAGGGGGGGAAAGAATGGAGGGTAGAGGAAATGAAAACAAAAGATACACAAAGAAAGCAATAGTATATGTTAAATCAAGCAGAGTTGAGAGAAACAGTACAATACAAACAAGGGATCACTTGACATTCACACAAGGGCCAGAGGCTGACAATTTTACCAAACTTGATTTTGCTGCCAGCAAAGTTTAGTTTCAGAATTAGTTGATTGCAAAGCAATGAAAGGTGCATATATGAATAATCTATTTTAACTACGTATTACCAGAAACTAAAGTGAATTTCTTTGAAAAATAAAATAATAATCATTAGCATTACATATTATGTAAGATGTATTTAAAACTCTTAAGGGATAATGGATAAAGCAACACAAACAAGGCAATTAAACAATACCTGTGAATGGCTGCAAAAAGATCCTCAGTAGTCCTTGGTCTGGTTGGCACTGCCACCACCTCACTGTCTTCTCCATAACTAGGGCTTTGCAGTAAAAAGCTGTTTGCTGCATCTGATTCAAACCCCTCAACTAAAATGCAATAAGTAATAAAATTATGTGGGATTATAAACTTGCAATATCTGAAGAATTAAGAGTTAAGTAGCCAACAGGGCAATAAAGACTGTAAATTTCCCTAAAAATACACAACACAGCCATGCTTCTGCCTTTTTACTGATGGCAACAACAATTATTTTGAGTAACTACATTCTGTGCAAAGCTATTTATTTGCTTACAAGGAACACAACACTGACATTTCTGGATTCCCTAATCCCCACCCCATGGCCATCATTATTGTCTCAGTTTAAAAATCAACACAACAGAGATTTGGTTGAGAAATCCCCCTTGACAATTGTTTCCCTTAAATAAAAGGCAGTGCAGATTCTTTACACACCATTAGCCCAAGTTCTATTATTTCCCTTAGGATCTGCATGCATTTGCACCGAGAGGGTTACACTGATGCCATGCTGCAGCCCTCCCTATCCTACTCCCAAATAGGTCTAATCACTAAATATACTGGATGAAAATAGAAAACAGACTTACCACTTTCATCCCCTTGAGATGCATGCCCGTCTCCTCTAGAGACACTGTCTCCAATTCTGTTGGAACTGCCTCGTTCGCACAAGCAAGGCTGCTCCTCCTGCTTGGGCTGCAGCGCAGAAATGCTGACTTCCAGTGTCTCACAGGAGGTGGAACCTGCAGCTCCTCCTTCTGGAACCAGGCTGCCAGAGTCCATTTCATAGGAGCAGAGTCCATCTGTAGGATAATCCTCAGCCTGGCTGTACTGTGCAATGGCAGCATCCCCTGGAGCGATTCTGACTGTTTCACCCACTCCAGCTATTTTTTCTGCTGTAACATCGGGTTGTGGGGGTGGCACAATCAGGAACAGTTTGGGTTTCTTTGAAACAGGTGGCGGCTTCTTGTTTGGCGATACACCCTGAGGCTTGTTGAGACATCCTGGCTGTCCCTCAAGAGATGAGCTTGCAAGATTGGAGCAAAAACCCTGTGCTGCTTCTTCAACACTGGCTGGTGGTAAATCACTGGCAAAGGAATTAGCTAGACTGCCTGCATTTCCAGGCATTGTACCACTCGAAAGTTCATAGTTACCACAGAGTCCTGGATAAGATCTCTGATTAGGACTGTAAACAAAGGTATTGTCAAAAGCACCATGGGGTTTCACTTCACCTTCTTCCAGGCTGTCGCAGTGTCCTACTGTTACACCTGGTTTTATAGGCAGCTGTCCTGAAAGCACATCAGTTGATTTTTCCTGAGAATTTATGTCAGAAGTAGATTCACCTGGCTGTTCAACCTCTGACACCACAGTTTTCTTCACGGACCTCAGCTGTACCATTTGCAGTGCTTGGGTGGTTACTAGAGGCATTGAAGGCCTGGCGGGATCCTCCTTTTTCATGGATGCTCTCTTTATTGTACTGTGAGAAGAACCTTCCTGATTATATTTCTTGAAAGAACATGGTGCATTTTTATATGCACCTTTTGTGAGTTTGGGGTCCAAGGGGGGTGCTGGTGGAGGAACTGAAGAAGGGACAGGAGGTGGAAGGGGAGGAGATGGCACAGGAGGTGACGAGGGAGAGAAATGATCCAACGAAGGGTCTTGCGGTAGGTAATTAAACCATGGGATACTTTGAGAAAATGATATGTTTATAACCGCTTCTGGTGGAGGCGGTGGGAAGTTGGGAGATCCAGGGGGAGGCGGCAGATCCATAACATCTGTTGAGGGAGGTGGTGGTGGTGGAAGAAGGTACTCAGAAGAGTCTGGAGATGAAACCAGAGGGAAGCTTGGGCCAGAGTCAGATTTCTTCACACTCCCACTCCCTTCAGCAGATGTATTAGAAGAGAGGGATGTGGAGGAGGAAGACACTGAAACTGAAGACAGAAGGGATGACTTTCTTTCAGGCACTTTAGGTTTCATCTTGGGTTTCCCGTTTCCTGTTGACATAGATTTCAGAATGACAGGCACTGGTGTAACTGCTGTGGGTGTGTTGGATTGGCTAGAATACCCACTAGATGGTGATGTAACCCTATGTGGCTTTTCTGGAGAAGTGGTCTTTGGTTTGGCCAACCCGCTGGGCACCTGTGGTGTAGAAGCCCTTGACCCATCGTTAAGGCGGCTGACGTTATAATCATTTAGCCTGGGTCCAGCATTAGCCGAATGAACTACTGGGGATTTCAGCTGATCCTCCGGCATCCCAGGACAATCGCTGTAGTAGCCCCACTGGTCAGCATACTCTGACCTGATGCTGCTTGTCTCACTCTGGGAGGGTGTGACAGTACAGATGGAGTACATGTTCAGGCCTGTTCCAGACATCATGCTGCTACTGGCGCTCACCGAGCTCTGACTACGAGAGCGTAGCACCCAAGGGTCATCATAATCACTGCAGGGGCTTTGAGATGGTGAGCTGCCATTTTTGCACTTGAGGTTCAACTGTAGGGAGTGTTGGAGGCTAGCAATCAACATGTCATCCAATACCTGCCCATTGGACTGAGTTTTCTTCTTGGGGATCCTTCTAAGAGAGTCTGTTCGGGATGGCGGCAGAGGCGGTTTCTTTGCCTTTTTAAAGGATATGCTTCGTGAGAGGGATTTGTCGCTGTAATTTGACAAGTCTCCCAGAGATTTCTTCTCGGTGCCATCAAACACATTAATGACACTGTGCCTGGGGTTTCCAAAGCCGTTATTGCTATTGCAAGTTTTGCCAGACTTGAGTCCCGAGTCCATGTGCATGGAAGTGTAATAGCCATCATGGTCCACAGAATATAAAGAGCTTGAGTCTTCTTTGGCAGAGACTCTTTCAAGGCTGCTGGTACTCAAGTTGCTCACAGGCGTGGAGCAGCCTGGAGTGGCACAGTTTAGTTTGTGTAACAACACCTCTTCCTTTCCAGAGTGCTTCAAACCACAGTGTTCTGTGCTGTTCTGAACCTGGCTCTGTGTTTTGTCAACAGAGTAATTTGATTCACTCCTATTGTCACTGTCCTGAGAGTGCGTTGGAAAACTGAGATTATTCCTACTGCTGTAGGTCACACTTTGAGGGGCATTTTCCACAGCTCCTGCACCGGTGAGAGAGACTCCTGAATCTCCAAGACTGAGCACCATTGCAGCATTTGATGAAACAGCAGTGCCTGAGGAACGCGAGTGATGTGTTGAACTGGTCTCGCTCCAGGTCCCACTAGAGGAATGCTGTTGATCTTTTGTGCCTACCATGCTGTTGACAACAAGATTGTCTCTAGGTTTTGTATATGAAGAAGGGTGGGTGATTTTACTATCCATCGCGCCCGCACTCTGTGTGGTGTGAATCACAATAACCTCTGAAGAGGATGATAGGGTTGCATTTGGTATAATGCTGGTTGAATACATACTATGTGGAGAGACCATGCATGCTAGACTTTCTGTTTGGTCACTCTCAGAGCCCTTTACCTCTTGGGACTTTGGCCTTTGAAGCATACCTGTCCTACTGTTGTTCCTCATGTGGTCTATGCTATCATCCACTTGCAGTTTGCTTATCTGGTGTGACAGTGCTCCATCTTCTGTTGACTTAGACAGGCTATGTCTACGTTCCAGGAACTGTAGGGACACCCTTGCCCCAGACCGAGGTAGACTATGAAAACCCAGGTCATTGTTTAGGCGGGAGGCAAACACAACCCCAGCGGAATCACTCATCACAGACATGTTTCCAGAAGAACTGGACAACTGTGACATCTGGGCTGCAATTCCTTGACCTTTCTGGGCACGTATTCGCCTGACTGAAGGTGGCACCACTTTGACTTCCTCCGTCTGACAGCCGGAGTCCTTGGTGTCAGACTGCTGCATGGAAGAGTGATAGCTATCAAGCCTTCCTAGTGTGGAATAGTGGTCAGGGACGCATAATGAATGGCCACGGAAGTCGTTTTTACCAGTGCCAACTGTTGGAAGTTAAAATAAAACAATTATTATACACATCAAGATTTCACATTTAAGCTCCTGTGTTCATTAACAAAACATGTATCAAAAAGTTGTTTCCTTGGATGTTTCAAATATGCTTCATTGTTTCAAATATAAATAAGAACCTGGGTCTGTTTACATTCAAACTAGGACTACTCTCCAGTCACGTCTCAGATAAAAAACAAACAAAACCCCTGATAGACAAGAATAGCTATTATTACCTAACCAACAGGCTAAAGGCCAACTGGGAACAATCAATACTATCCTACTAGGCTGCCTGCACACTTCACTTTAAATAATAGCAGCTGCAGCTATTGTAGCACTCAGCAGACCATAATTTAAGTCACAACGTACAGGAGCTTATTTATGTTACATATATATAATATATTACCCTATCCCCAGTGTGAAAAATGAAGAAAATAAAGAACAAGCAAAGTGTGTCTCAGTCCTTGTTCTTTGCAAACTATGTCTTGACTGCTGCACCTTCCATTCAAAAGCACCATGGGATTCCAGGAAATTCAAACAATTCCACACAAACTATTTTTCTATATTATTATCTACTTGAATCATGAAATGTTTATTTTTGGGACCTTGCACTATACCACAGGAGAAAAATAAAGTGCTAACAATTGCTTTTTAAAACCACTGACCTCTTTAAAGGAATAAATTGAAATATATTTAAACACATTAAATGAAGAAATTCTAAAGGCCTGGCCAAGTTTCTAAGAACTATTTCATCTATGTATTAATACTTAGCATGGCAACGTCTACATTGTTCTTTGAGGAAGAACAAAAGGCAGGGAGAATAGTGTTGCTCACCTACTGAAGCAGAGTCTACTGCCTAATTAGACAATGGCTTCTGTCTGCGATGCAGGTGGAGGGAGACTAAGCGCAAGGCAAGGTACAGACAGAATTGCAAGAGAGTCATCTCACAGCAAATCCAACTCTCATTCTTTCAAGTTGACTTCCTGTCTTCAGGCTGCCCCTTCCCCAGTGGCAAGTGCTTGCACAGCATTCGACCATAGTTAAAGGGTTTGTCCACATTTGAGCATTATTTAGCTGTGAATCCTCCATTCAAAGCAGTCTACACTCGCCCATATTTGAATTTTTATGGCTGTCCCTGCCTTCTGATTTGCTGATTTTATAATCTACTACTATAATTAACTACTGACAGGCACCCTTCCTGTGTGGTTTTTTTTAATACTCTACATTTTTAAAATGTGGGTTGCTTGCAGTTTTCTGGTTTCATGCAAAGTGTTATGTCCAAAAGGGGACTTGTGGTTTGTTTTTCCCAAACAAACCATGAGCCAAACCATGGCTTAGCTCCCAGTAGCAAAGAAACATTAGGAACGGGGAAGGTGCAAATTGACCAAGATTTTTGTCCTGTGCACCAGCATGCTATACGCTAAATCTTAACTACGGTTTAAAATGATGAAAGAATCAGGTCAGTGATATCAGCTGAAGAATGTTTTTATTCCTGCCGAAGAAAACAAGTTATTATAGAATCATGCCCAAGTACATACAAACAGTTCACATGGAATGCTGATTTCATCATTGCCAATGGTGAACTGAGAGTCAAACCATGAACCGACATTCTCTTGATGTTGTCTATTGCTGAAGGAGATCGGTACTAGTGAGCTGTCTTTCAAGGAATGTTGTTTGCCACCATTATTTTTATTTTTATTATTACCCCAACAAGCTTGAAAGTCACTGATTTGAATGCACTTGAAATCACTGCACTATATACTTAAATATATATCTGCACTGAAACTCTATCAAAATAGCATTTTCTTCTGTCCAAATTATGCTACAATGATGTAAAAAAGAGGTGGGGGAAAGTTTGGTATCTGAAATGCTGCAGGTCTGCCATTGAAAAATGCAGCCATTTTGGACTGCTTGCTTCTGAGCAGCTCTTGCGGGTTTTTTATGGCATGTCAGATAAGGAGCTCCCTTCCCAGAGCCTTTCAATTCTCTTAATTGTTGAATGCAAGTGGACTGTGAAGAGTAAGGTCATTCTTCCCCATAAAATTTAATAGCTGTTTAAGTCATATTCACTTCTTGTTTTTCTTGGCATACAACAAAACACTGGCATTGGAGAGAAGGGAGGATGGAGGGAAAGTTAAGGACAATGCCATTTATGAAACATTAACCTGCTTTCAAATAAAATCAAACCTTTACACATGTTTCTGTGCATTTTGCCTGCTTTTAAAGTTTTCCAAAAAGCATAAACTGAAGCCCTGCTTCAGCGAAGTCAGCGTGGTTTTAGCTAGAACTTCAAGGCAGCTAGAATTTGACCTTTAGACTTTTTTTTCTACCACAATGTGCTCAAGTAAGAAATTACATTATGTCCCTTCAAGCAGCTTGATAATTCTCAAAAGCAGTGTTTTATCAAAATGACTATAGGCACAAAGGCCAATCAAGCAAGAAAGAGAGGACTTGTAAGAGAGGTTTATTTATTCTATATTGATCAGCATGAGCTGTAACTAAAAATAAACACCTTCTCTGTGTGATGTTCTAATGTAATCAGTTTCCTGAATATGATACAAATTCAGATTTTTCCAACAACAAAAGTTGTCAGTCCGTAAGTTAAGTTTCAGTTACTAAATTCCAAGTTATCATTGTAACTACTGCTTAAATATGTACTTAAACTAATGTATTTATTTGTAGCATTTTTTTTTCACTACTCAAAGAGACTCAAAGCACTTTAAAATACAGTGGTGCCTCGCAAGACGAAATTAATTCGTTCCGCGAGTTTTTTCGTCTTGCGATTTTTTTCGTCTTGCGAAGCACGGTGTCGGAAAAGTTTTGGAAAAGCTTCAAAAATCACCAGTCTTTAAAAACCTCAAAAAAGGCTACCACACCGCATTCTATGAGTTGCTCCTCGAAGTCAAGTCGCAACTGTATTAACGGTGTTAAGAAAAGGAAACAAAATTGCAAGACGTTTCCGTCTTGCGAAGCAAGCCCATAGGGAAAATCGTCTTGCGAAGCAGCTCAAAAAACAAAAAACCCTTTCGTCTAGTGAGTTTTTTGTCTTGCGAGGCATTCGTCTTGCGAGGTACCACTGTATATATTGTAGCGTAATGTTTTTCAAAAAGCATTTCTGGCATAAATGGATACTTTTAATATTCTACTCATGTTTCTCTTATTCACAGAACTGTATGTGGAATCATGAGAACCTGTCAGGGGAATTGTGAGTTTCATATTGACAGATTATGAAACCAGAGATTCGTCTCAAATTCTTTAACAGAAAATTAAATGCCAAATTATGTAAGATATTATTAACTGGGAAAGTATAATAAGATATCTTGTGCTGAAGAACAATCCTCAAGAAGAAGCCAAATTGCAAACTGCCAGTTTCCCTTCAGTTCCCTTCTTGGCTGCAATACTGGGCCTTACCCTGCCCTTTAATGCTAGGGCAAGTAGCCCAAATAGTGTTGTGCTCCTTCCATGTTGAATGATAGGAAAACACCATGGTAGATATCATTTACTTGTTTTAAATTACAGGATAAAGTCCAACAGTGCAGTCCATAATAGGCTATCAGGAGCAGTGGGGATTCGCCCACCCTTTCAGTACCCTTTAAAACAAGGAGATAAGTTACACTAGCCAGAAAAACTCAGCACAGAGCTATGATGGTTATATTGCAGACTGTCTCTTCTGAATGTGAGTAAGCAAGCATGCAAGCACAAGAGAGGGAGCCAAGGGCGGTAGCTGCCAATATAATGAAGTTTGGGGTCAGGAAAAAGACTACTGGGTTCTTCAAATACCAAAGGTCAGGTGGGTAGAGGTTTTAGAGGAGAAGGAGCAACCAGAGGTTTGCCTGCACTAATTTGTAGGCCAATGGAGCTCACCTACACCAAAGCTACAGAAGGAACACAGGACATCATGGCTGGGGGAAAATGTATAGGAAGTTCCTTTAAGTCCCACAACCCAATGGAACTGCCATCAAGTTGCATGCAACTGGCATGACTCCATGCCAAATGAGGGCAGAATTTCACCGGCACCATTGCAGACACCAATAAAACTTCTAAGACATTTGATGAACACTGTAACTTGCACTGTGCGTGGGCTTTTCTGAGTGTCAAGTAATTTCTGCAGAGCAATACAGTATGTCAGCGCAAGCCTTTCTAAATGTGGGTTTGTGGTGCCATGGTATAAAATCAAAGCTTCCATGTTGGGAGATGGCCACAAATACATGGATTTCAAAACAGCCATGCCACAGCTACTTGAATATGCAAACTAAATGCCTCAAGCAGGATTTCAGGGAGCCTAGAATGTCTACTAAGCATTCAAGTGAACAAGCAGGAAGATCATTGTCTCAAGCTGGCTATGAAGAGAATAAAAGCTACACTTTTTTGTTGTTAGGAAAGGGGGGGGGGACAACTGAAGTGACAGAATGCAGACAAGGCTCTAGCCTAGCTTATGCCCATTACATTCATGTTTGCCAAGAAGGAATGGCTGGGGATGAAAGTTATTTATGGTTAAGTTCTTTGGTCAAACAAATGACAAACCGAGAAGACCTCAAATATGATAATTGCTGTAGTGAATATTTATGTTCCAAATATGGATTCTCCTATAGCATTTCACAAATGTTTGAGCTATTTGATTGATAAGACTTATGTTCAGATGGTAAGTGGGGGAGTTTTTAATGAGATTCTGGACCCAATTTTAGACAGCAGTACTCCTCCTAGTAAAATCCAATCTTCAGTGAAGAATGAAGGAAATGTGAGACTGACATGCTCAAATTCAATTGTAAGAAATATCTTGAAGACCAAGGGAATAAAAACAACTGAAAACAACTCTAAAATTCTTATAGATTTTTACTCTCCCAGTACATAATTTCAGAAAATTGCAGCTTTGCATGGTGTTCAGTAAATTCAGTTTGTTTGGTTTTTTTAAAAAAGATGGAACTTTAATTTCCAGGTGGGCAAATTGATCGGTTTAAGCATACACTATTTATTCTTTCCTAGTGGTCAGGCATACATTCATTTTAACTTTTAATAGGCTATCAGACTGTATTGACTTCATGAGCGTGGGGTAAATGTTATGAGTTTAGTCACAGTAAGCAAGATAATTATTAATTGTAATGGAATACAGTTCTGATGAGCCATACCTAGCTCTCTTTGGATGTTGTCAGGGACTCCTGTAATAGTCTTTCTCCTTTTCACTTTCTTCGGCCGCCTTACCACAGTATCTGTGTAAATTAGAGACCTCCGTATGCTGGCTTGGCGGTCAAAATTCTCCCCTGATGTACAGTAGAACAAGCAAAGCACCATTACTTTCAAGCACGCTGACATCATGCACTTTCTTCCACTTGCTTATTATAGAAATGAAGAAAAGGCATTAATATATGATGTTAGCTCAGTCATACAGAGTGGATATACATAGAAGGAAAAGATACAGCATACTGTCACTTTAAGGCTTTAAAATGGAAGGGATTACATGCTCCTATCAAATACATTTGTCTCATCAGACCAAATCTTCATCTAATCTAAACATATCAGTGAGCCATTAATGTCAGCGTTGGACATTTATATTTACATTATGTCCCAGCTTACCTTCTTATGAACTTTGAGGAATGGGGGATAGAGAATTTATGCTCTTGTTTTTGAGAACTGTACTGAATAAGTATTTCTTCATTTTCTTATGGCATGGCATGGCTAATGACTTCAACGACGATCCTAAATATGCTTAATTGGAGGTTTAATTTAAATTAATGGACATGAGGCAGATATGAAGCTAATGGAAGTGGATGTAAGGTGTGGAGGTCAGTTTGGATAAGTGGGTTCCTGGAATGAATATCACTATTCATAAAAACATCAGAACTATTACAAAGATATTTTCTGAGGGACTGTGGTTCTCTTTTTTCCACTGTTGTAAGCTGTTAATTTGGAAAATGACAAATCATTTAATATTTAAATATATTTTCTTAATTGACTGCATTAGCTCGGTAGCATGGAAAAGTTTTCAGGAGGTGTTTTAAAAGTTAAAACAGAATATGCCTGAGGAACCTCTATTGGCAGAACTGGGATGACAACACAAAAAGTTTGGTTTCTTGCTGCTGTTAAGCAGCAGGGTGGACATACACTAAGAACATCCCTAGACTGCCTCTTTTGTTCAACACCAAACGTAGGCCCTTATATGTGTGTTTTAGTTTTTTGAAACTCCCAGACTCTAAGCATAAAGTAAGATGATACCTCTGCATCCAAAACTTTTAATACTGACAGTCATAAGAAATCTGGCTACTTTCCCCTGCATTTGAAACTTCAGAGGAACTGATTGCAGATTATTTATTACATGACTACGATGAAGTTTTATAATATCTGAATGTCTTATGTATTTTTAAAATCAACAAACAATTTGAACTGAAACAGTGTTTCAGTAAGTACTGCTGTATTTTGCAGTGAATTTATAATGTTAGCAGTGTTGTGAACAGCCTTGGAACAGTGGGAGAAAAATTTAAATATTAAATAACAAACATGACTGAGTCTAGACAATGTTCTGACTTTCAGGTTAGCCAAAATTTAATGTCTGTTACCTCTGAAAATTTACTATATTTAAATACAACATTATATGGGGGTGGGGAGAGAGAGAGAAAGAGACAGAGAGAGACTGATGCAGATGGAAACAGCTCCATCATACTGTGAAACCCTGACAGAGGTCTCACTGTCTCTTTTTGGTTGGTACCAAAGAGCCATGCCAAATGCCAGTAACATTTATTGAACATAAATTCTCTATATAGACTTCAGTGTCACAGAACTGCACCCTGGCTATATTTAGTCTTTAAAGTAATTTTGGCATGTAAGCAGTATATGAATTGATTATAATAATAATAATAATCACCATCATAATAATAATCTATCATTGGGTGATACTGCATTTTCACAATTGACTGAACCCACCATTGAAAGTTTGTGTGGTGCATGCAAAACAAGAAAGCCTTATAGCTGACCATTTGCTGTATCATATCTGGACCCAGCAGCATTTCTACAGGTTGAACAGCTTCAAACAAATTCACTTCTTTCAATGAATTAATAACCTGGCCATTTCCATTAGTTTAAAATTTGCATCTTGCTTCTTCTGTCATTTGAGATGCTTTACAAATTAGTTAAAACATTCAAGTGATTTTAAAATCTCATTTTATCTTCTCCCCCTTAACAAACTTAACATCCCTAATATTCTTCTCCTCTAAATCCTTAGGGCGGTAAATATAGAAGTGTCTTTAGGGAAAGCTCTGTTTCACTATGCTTCTTTCTGGGAAAAAGGTAGGTATTTGAATTCTTCCAAATTCTATTTTAAACATCTAGATAGCCAAGTTATTTCTCATTGAACAGTGCATTTGGTATTTGCTAGACATTGCTGTGCGCATCATATGTGACGTCCTAGGAGAACGCTTCCATTAGATTGTATGGCATAAGGAAAATGACTTTTAAAAATTATACAACAATGCACGTGGACATTTCTAGATTACAGGAACAAAGACTAGAAGAGAAATGTTCCATCCCTAGTTGCCAAATGAAAAGAATTGTGTTTTCCCTGAATAATCATATTTGGGTTTAAAGATACAATGTGCTTGTTAAGTGAAACCTTTGAAACTCTAATAGTAGATGAGGTTAGTGCGGAGAACTGGGAGTTATAAAATTAAGAGTTTCAGACCAATGGCCTGCTATTAGGCATGCCAGGGGGTTAATTATTTAATTATTATGCTGAACTGCAGCCCTCCTATGTCACACTGGAAAACTACTGAAGCTCCTCTGAGTAGTTCACCATGTAGCTTAGAACGTGAGAGATAAGAACTAAGCCTTGTAGGGAAAAGGATCAAAGCCCCATCATGCACATGGAAATAGTGGCAAAGTTGTCTATTTTGTACCAAAATCTGTATCAGCGAAGGCACAAAGTCAACTTGTACAGAAATTTATTTTTTTAAGTCAGCATATTTATAGGTATTATTCTTTACCAACCAGTAATTAGTTGGTAATGAAGTAATATTGTTTCACGTAGTAAGGATACTTTTTACCGCTCTTCTGCTTCACCAGAGTTCTGACTCAGCTTACATATGTGATAAAAAAGTCATCCTCGCCATTTAGCAGGTTGCTACAGGTAAGTGGTTTACCAAGTTTCTGTGTACATACTTTGAGAAGTTACCACTTGGTAAACAACTGTCTGCATTCATCCAAAATCAAATAAAACCTGTTAGGAAACTTGTGTGCAAAAACTGGTTGAAAGTTTTAGTTTTTAAAAATAAACCTGTATTTAATTTTTGTGGTGGGTTTGTTTTTTTAAAAACAACCTTTTCAGTAGCCTTTTCTGGCCACAATTCAATTTATGCAACTTGCTTAAATTTATCTTGTTCATCAAGGAACAGCCCAATGAAGTCAATGGTACGTAAGTCTGTGTTTCACTAATTTGCAGAATGAAGCCCTTTATCTTTTATTTATGACTTTGATGCGCACCAGCTCCTATTATCTTCCTTTGTATCTGGGTAAGACCCACACCTGACGACGCCACCTGTTCCTGGATTAACAATTAGAGCATGGTGTTCAATAGATTGGCAGCATATGTTTTTTAAAGACTAAAACTTTGAGTCTATCCCTTCCAGAGCAAGCTCAGCTCCTGATGACCCAAGAAACTAATTCCACTCCCAAACATGGATAGCCAGTCAGCAGCTCTTCAGATTAATGCAATGCCCCAGCACCTTCAGGTTACTCGCCAGATTTACAGTACTACAATCTGTCCGGCTGAAAGAGCGCTGCCAAATGAAACCAAAGCAGGTCTCATCTGTTGTGCAGCCAAGTGAAAGGTTGTGGGCTGTGTTCATTATTAATTAATCTTTTTAAAAAGGCGCTTGATTTATTAAAAAGCACATCTAGGGTTAATATTTTATTTCAGACACATCAATATTTTATTGTGGCGAATAGCCCAATCTACTACTGCTGGTTTAGACAGCCAAAAATATTATCTTGCCATTTCAAAAAAAGGAGAGGGGAGAAGAAAGTATACAAATACATGATTTCTAGCGCTTACATCAATTTAAAGATATGGTTAGAACTAAAATATATTTTCCCCCTTTTCCTCTCCCAGCTAAGTACATATCAGAGAGGATATTTCACTGCAAATTTTGTCTTACATATATTCATTCAAAAGGAAGTCACACTGTGTTCAATTGAGCTCACAATGCAACCTCAGTTTCTAAAGTGTAAAGCAATATGGCTCAGCTTCAGTATATCCATTGAATTGCCCACCTTTCACCCATCTCATGTCCAACCTTTTGTTTTTACATACTTTGAGAGTTAAACAAGATTAAACTGCATACTTTTCTAAATATACTGCGCTCTTATGATTAAGCATGCTGATTATTTCTCTGTCTTTTAACACCTATGCAATTGAAAGGCAGCAACTTGGACTGGGAGGAACCCCAGTTTATTCATTTGTGTAATGAATTAAATGCGCAAAACCATTTCTCTTTTAAGTTGTGGCATTCAATAATATCTTTGCATTTTGCATTTCTAATTACTTTCACAAGCTTCTTATTTATCCCAGACAACTGTTTTATACTGAAAATCTTGCTAAAATAAGATGGATGCCAGCGCTAAGTGGTTATTAGCAATCACATAGGGGAAAGGCGTGCCCAAGTTAAGTGATTATTAATGAAATAAAGTCAGCTGCCTTAACAATGTAATCAAAAATATCTAATTGAAAGCCTAAAGCACAATGGAAGTCTATTCGGCATAACTGAAGTTAACTTCTTGTGCCTCAGACCAGCTGGAATGTGGCAATGTGGTTGTAATTTAGTAATTGTGCCATGGCCCTTGGGGTCCTTTTTGCACCAGTGAAGAACAACCATGCTGCAGGAGAAAGACAAATCTTCTTTGTTAATGGAACAGGAGTACAGTTCTGCATTTCACTTTCCTCCTCCAGTGGATAACTGAAGTACAGTCATTGTACAAAAGAGGCGGATATTCACATACTGTAAGTGGATCTTATCTAAGGCTTTTTGAAACCTTTTAAGCTTAATATAGCAGCAAACCATTTCTAATATGAACATTTCATATTTGAAGCTAACACAGAGCATTTCGTTGTGACCGAGAAAGAGGTTAACATAGGTTTCATCTCAAAGGTCCTGAAGAATATTCCATACAACAACATTTTTTGCCACAGATGAGCATGTAAATCTGCTGGCTTGGGCAAGTTTCTTAATATTATTCACAGACTGAAAAGCAGAGAGATCCTAAAATCTTAAGAGAAAGTTATTGTAGAAAACATTTTGGGTTTTGTGCTCTTTTTAAATCTCAGTATATATTTGACCATGCCACAAGAATCCTTTTGTTGGGGACCCACTAAACTTAAGATCTAAGGCTGAATGTGTGCTCTTACCGATATTCTTCATAATTCCTGCAAAGAACCCTGCTCTTGAAAAGTGTAGTAGTAATTTAGCCAGTACTTTCAATCTAATCAGCCTCTCATTTTAAGTTTCATCAGTACAACGGTTTGGAAAACGTATTTTCAGACAAAATAAAAACCAATAACCAATTGAGATCCCTTGCCCTTTCTCACCACACAGAAACAAAATTAAAAGCCTACCAGTTACGTTAATAGGTATAACATCAGTTTGGACTGCTTGAGCCTGTTGTCGCATTTTCTCCTCCGGGGTTGGCAATGGAAGTGATTTGGTCCAATTTGTTTGAGTGTTGATATCAGAGAATTCATTTGAAACTGGTGTTTTGGGTCTCTTGATGCTAATGAGCTTCTCCTCCTCAGGAGAAGGGGTCGAACACTATTAAAAAAAAGTACGCTGTAAATTCAGTGCAAATATATTTATCTTACTTATTTATCTTTCAAATATAAATTAAAGCACTCAAAATAGTTGTGATGCTTTTGCCTTGGCTACATCTAGCAAAATATGAATTAGACAGACCTTGTTCCAATTTGTACATAAGGAAAGGTTTGTACATCCTCTTTAGCAGTAATTACAAATACTGAACCGATTTCATCCAACATCCAATAAGTTTTTTTAAAAAAATCAATAAACGTATAACCCAATTAAGCACATGTTAAGGAATTGAATTCAATGTGACAGACAATCCTATGCACACTTACCTGGGAGTAAGTACTACTGAATACAGAATACTTATGAGTAAACATGCATAAAATCTAATTATTAAACTTGTACATAACTCTTTTTCTCATTGGGAAAAAAGGGACATTATGCAGAACCATATACTAAATTTACGTATAAAACATAGGAATTAATACTGGTCTGTTAATGATATACCAAGAACTCTACTATTTTCAGTAGGAGTTTTAACAGTGCTATAAAATACAGTGCTTCTAGTTGCCCAAACTCTTTAAAAATATGCTCTAGGGCTACTTTGATGGGATTTTTAAAAATCCCAAATATGAAAGAATGGATTTACAAATCTTGTAAAACATTTACAACTGAAATGTCAGAAGAGATTCTTCAATGCAATGACCAAATCTTAGGGGAAATGGCCCCTCTTTTGGTATCCCTGACCTTAGTATTAGGATAAGAAACCTTCTGTGCCATCTTTTTCCTTTGTACAAAGGGGAAATTTGCAAGTGTGACTCCACCCAATCAGTTTTTAAAAGGTCTGAGTCACAGAGATAGAAATGCAAACCAAAATGATATGCAATGCTTCATCAGTGTGTGGCTTTTGTTTATCTTACTATTACACATGAAAAAAAGCGTGCTCTAGGCTCAGGTGCCAAGGGAGTAATACTCAAGCATGGTGCTGTGTGATAAGCCCCAGTAACCTACTTTTTATCTGGTTGGTTGACATTGTCAAAATGAATAACTGTCATGTTATGTTGACCCAGTGTATTGTATTTGGAAACCCAGCTGCCATTAGCCAGTCACCAGGGGCTCTTCGAACATGACAAGAGACAGAGACATAAATGTATACTATATAACTTTCCTTCTTTTTGAAGGAAACTGCAAATAAAGCATATTTTAAAAGCAATTGTGAGGCATGAAGCAAAACAAATCACACACATAGGCAGACAGGTAAATTTATGTCTGAATCCTTGTTATACAGAACAAACAAAATTTACAATTTCGACACATGGGAAAATAAATCAGCTGGTCCGATGGCCAATAAATAATAGACCATTTAAATCAGGCATAGGCAAACTCGGCCCTCCAGACTTTTGGGACTTCAACTCCCATCATCCGTAGCTAACAGGACCAGTGGTCTGGGATGATGGAAGTTGTAGTCCCAAAACATCTGGAGGGCCGAGTTCACCTATGCCTAATTTAAATAGTCAGATCAGCTACTCTGACAAAACACTGTCCAAATGTTGTTCAAGTTTTAGTGCATACAAACATTTTGATACAATCCAAGCAGCAATTGTTTCCTTCTCTTGTGCACAGCTGGGTGCTCTCCAGATGTTTTGGTCTAGAACTCCCACCAGCCCCAGCCAAATGGCTGTGCTGACTGGGGCTAATGTGAGTTGTAGGCCAAAACATCTGGAGGGCACCAGGTTGGCAAAGCCTGCTTTAATGCATTAAAAAATCCTCCAGGTCCTGGGATCGCTTGGTTACTCACACCTGGCCCTATTCTCAGCCCTGATGGAAAACAACCTTTCAAAAGTATCTCAGCCAAGGGTGAAATTAATTACAGAATCATAAAATTGTAGATGTTTATGGTTGGGGCAGCTGAGGTAGGGCTTTGACACTATCTACCAGTCAACATCCTGAAAACATCAGCTCTGGAATTTCTAAGACCTATGCACGTCTGAAAGGTGTGCATGTGCAATATAGTTGTACCTTGGTTCTCGAACATAATCCGTTCCGGAAGTCCGTTCAACTTCCGAAAGTGTTTGAAAACCAAGGTGCAGCTTCCGATTGGCTGCAGGAGCTTTCAGCACTCAAGCGGAAGCCGCGTCGGACGTTCGACTTCCAAAAAATGTTCGCAAACCGGAACACTTACTTCCGGGTTTTTGCATTCGGGAGCCAAAACGTACTAGTACCAAGGCGCTCGAGAACCAAGGTACGACTGTACTAACTTCTTGCAATGGATGTATCCCACGATGCGGCCCCCCACCCTGCCCCAGTCCCTAGTTTTGCCCCAGAGAGTTCCTGTGTTCTGGCTGCATTCCCCAACAAACAGCTGGGAATGAAGAATCCACTCTTTGAATATTGTTATAGGTCTTTGGGTATCAGAGTTTTTGGGTGCTTGGATTTATATCAAAATAGCCTGGTGAGACTGTGAATGGCCTAGCCATTAAGCAAGCAAAAACAGAATGATGACCCATCAAGGAAGTCATGGAGAGGGGTGAACCCCCCACTCTGGGCTCTGGGTAGTTAGCAAAAGACAATGCCAGAGTGGTGAGGAGGAAGTTTCAGAACTGCAGTGAGGGGTTATGTAAGCTGAAGGGAAAATAGTTGCATTTAGAAAGCAGTTTCAAAGCTGGAAAGTGTGGGTTAGAGCAGAATGGGGTGGGCAGTTTGAATCCAACGTTACACCCATGGGAGGAAAAGGACCCGCTTTGGAGTGTAATCCTGGGAGTTCCTCCATTGTAGGTTCATGTTGTAAATGAACCATATATCATAAAGACACCACAGTCTCCGCTGTAACCCCTGGAATCTTGCACTGCTGTGAAGACTGGGGTGGTGTGTAACAATATCTTCTTAAATGACTATTTAAAAGGCAGGCACAAGTCCCAAAGGAAATAACAACTCTTCAGAATAAGCAGCAACCTGAATTCATTGCTCCAACAAAGCCTATAATAAAGAAACCAAATAGTATGCAGATTTGTGGTGGTTTAAAACTCAGTCCAAAGATTAGTGTTAGAAGAAAAGGAATGAGAATGAATAGGAAGCGAAATTAATATTATTCTTATGTATTACAAAGAGTAGCACAGTTTGGTTTTCATGCTTAATTGTATTACTAAATATTATTTTTCCCAATGTTATACTGAGATGGTTGGATTGCTCAATAAATATAATAGCAGTTTTTAAAAGTTTCAGGTTCCATTTCAGTAAACTGATCTTTTAAGATTGTCATCTGAGATTTCTGGATTTCTGCATGATCTCTGAACACTGCATGATCAGTGGAACAAAAACATTATTTGTTTTCAGTAGAGGAAAGCATATAGTAAGGATTGAAAAAGGAATGTTCAGAAATGAGATTAGTGGCATTTTGGTTGCTGAAGCCAGTAAACAGGGATTATCATCCTCTTCCCACTCATCAAATGATAAATCTCATTATCAGAGTGGGGATAACTTGCATCCCCATCTAGACCCTGGATGCCATTCATCCAAATGCTGTGTTTACTTTTTAAAAAAGTTTACATTTGCAACCATTGCAAAAGTTGATGGAGTCTTGAGGGGCAGACAAAAATAGGGGGGGGCTGGATTAGGCCCTTGAACTGGAAGGTAGCCACCCCTGTTGTAAAACATGTGACCTAAGAGGAACCCAACAGACACTCACATTCACTCTCGGATTCAATGCTAAGATGTTTTGTTTTCCATTTCGTAGATATATCAATATATAGTTTGATTTGGAATCAATTATTGTAAAACAGCACAACAATCCAAATTACAAGAACATTTATAACAGTTTGTAAAGTTAGTAACTATTCCCACAGAACAGAAAACATTAACAAAGTATGAGCAGTAAAAAAGGAGTTAGTCCATTAAATATACAAACTGAGCGTTCTAGATTGACAACTACTGAGATAAGGATAGAAGCACACAATGTTAGTACAAGATTAACCTTGAAAAAGTGAAACCAACAATAGGTGAAAATTTAAAAGTAAGATTTGAGAATATTCTAGCATCACAATAACATCAAGCTGTATATATACATAACAGCTGGATGATCCCATTTTGGAGCCAGATACCTTGATCTTCCATGGAATCAAACAACAGCAGGCACTAAGGCAAGACTGAGGGAGGCAGTCTAACAGACTAGACTGTTGAGTGAGAGAAAAAAGAAAGTGAATGAGTTGCAAAGAAAAGAGAATGAAAAACACACACACACACACATGAAAAGACGCAAGAGACACAGTAAACATAGCAACAAGATAAACATAATTTCAGAAAGCAGAGAGGAGTTGCTATCTGAAGACATCAATTTTCCATGCAAGGAAAACATGCTTAAGTGATGAAGAGAGAGAGAGAAAATATCATACTAGTTTGTCATGTTTTAATCAAAGGGTTTTTAAAATAATAATAATAATAATAATAATAATAATAATAATAATAAAACAAAACAAAACCAGCCAATTCAGTGGACTCAAAATAGGGAAATATGCTTCAGGGTGTCAGAAATGCTGCCTTGAATTAGGGCCATTTATCACATTAAAAAGATGGCTCGACCCCAAACTGTCCCCACAGAAGTATCTGTGGGCAGTATGAACCAAATTACAGGAATATGCATGAAGTCGATCATATTAACCATCTGATCTGATTTCCAGAAAATTTCTAGGGTCCTAAGTAGATGTATTTCATACCATCTGCATCCTGATCTGGACTTGCAAAGGGACTGCACATTAGACTTTTACATCAAATGCTCATTTTCCCCTTCCTTAGAAGTTCTGGGGCAACAAGAACCCTGAAAGACCCCCTTCTGGGACCATCTCAGGAAGGAGCCACAGAGAAGGAAGGAAACTCCCCTCTCCCACCCTTGAGGCTAACACTTCTCCTAAATATATTACTGCTGTTTTTTGAACAAATATTCTCAGATTCCAAGTTACTTCTCTGCAAAACCTACCTCAGCTTCAGGCTTCCCACCTTCTCCACAATATTAGTTCTAGAGGGACCATAACAACAGCCTCACCCAACAGTACATCTCACTGTGTCTTTCACTGAGGACTGATATCTACCAGTACATACCATATTAAAATAAAGAAAAGTGGAATATCACTCTAAGATAATTTTTATGGGAAGGTAGATTTCAAGGAAAATGCCATTTTGCTTATAATATTAGGTAGTATTTCACTATAAATACTATAAATTAGCCCTCATCAATTCTATAATCTCATAATGCCACTTATTGAGTCAGTTTTAATATTTTACTGATTGTGCAAATAACACCTATATAATAATTTCTCCTACACAGGAACAAAATTGCAGGACTATTAAGAAATACTGACTTGCTGAGGACATTGCACTATATTTTCAGTTATAAATACTAAAAAATTCATAGTCCAAAAACTAGCTAAGATAATTTTTTTGGATTTAAACCAACACAGTTCTAAATACATTTACTTGAAAGTAAATAATACCATCTCAATATCTTCATGCATGAATCCCACCCTCTCCAGGTGGGATATTGAAGTGCACACACTCATGGTTGAAGACCAACAGGGAAGGAGTGGAGTGAGGAGGCTATTGGAAAATGCATCACATCTGTGTTTGTTTATTTTTAAAGTATCATTATTCAGCCTTTAACTTCAAGATTAAATGAGCTAGAAGGGTGCAAACAACAACAACTTCCCATCCGAACAGTGCTGTCTTTACTGTTCAAGGATTTCAGTATCTTTGCAATAACCCTTTAAGGTAGGTAGGTAGGTAAGTATTATATATATTGTACACACATGTATGAGAACAGGGCCAGGGGTTGAGCACATACATATGCTATGAGTTCATGGCTGATCCTGAGAAAGGAAAGAAGATGGTGGATAAGGAGCTGATAGCTATGAAACACAGTGCACATAACCAGTGGCGTAGCGTGGGTTGTCAGCACCCGGGGCAAGGCAAGTAATTTGCGCCCCCTAACCCGGTAGGGGCAGAGAGCTGCGAGTGTGAGCGCGCCCCCCCCAGATGTTGCGCCCGGTGCAGCCGGCCCCCCTGCACCCCCCACGCTACGCCACTGCACATAACAGATTCCTGCACAAGGGGCAAGTATTACTCAAGTGGATACTATATAGAAATCACAATGAAGAAACAAATGCACAATTAGAACAGAGGGAAGGATTCAGCTAATGAGTTCTGTCAGGGGACGCTCACACAAGGACTTCCGCCTGCACACTCTGGTTTTCCTCCCTCTCAGGTCCCTGAAATTGGTGCAGGGGCAGGAGAACCCCCAGGATAACGCATGGGGCAAGGAGAGAGAGTGGGGAACAGTCCATCAGGCAAGCTGCAATGGTTGCACTGACAAAACATCTGACATAGTGCAACGTTTATTTCCTTCCAGAGAACCGAACTGCACTAAGTCCACTTTGAACACATCAAGCTTGCTTGAAATGAAATGCCTGAAATAAAATGTAAGGTGAACTCCGAACACTTTAAAAAACAAAAAAACAAAGCTAGTGTTCACAAAGGGATAATGACTTTATTTTCTATTTGCTCATGAAAGCAGCAAGCACTGATATAACCGGTTTCAAAATCTGTACTTCTGCCTGCCAGAGATGTTTGCATTGCAATTTTCTTGAGTTGAACCACAGCATAGCTTTAACGGCCCATATTTTTCTAAATATTTTGCAGAGTTCTATTTTGCACTTCTATAGTTTTATGTTGATTTAATTTTGGCTTATATGTGCATTATACTACATTACTTCCTAGGGTGCTTGGTACCTCACCTTTTGTTCAATTTCTTCATAGTCATCGTGGTGACTTCCGCAGATTGCACTGGAAGAAGATGAGAAAGTTGGGCCCTGAGAATAGTATTGAGAACTTCGATAGCCATCCCTTCGCAGCTTGTCACATTCTGTACATCATAGAGAGGAAAAAAATAAAAAATAAACATTAGTATTTTAGTTGCTAGATACCAAGGTAGGCAGCCTGCAGGCAACATGTGGTACCCAAACTCAATTCATGCAACCCCTAAAACCTCCTATGGCTGCACTATTCCTGGCCTTTTAAAGTATTTTCTCCTCCTTTCAAAGGAGCAATATTATATTCAAATTTTAAAACTTTCTTTATGATTGTATGGTTTGGGGAAAGAAGTTCCATTCCCAACTCCCACTGTCTCGAAACAAACTCACTGGATGCAAGCTCATGGCAGAAGCCTAAGGCAGAAAAGAATTAGATTTGCCTGCTTTCCAGAACAGTAGTTGTATTCATCTGTTCCCTGCATCTGTATGCTTATTTGAGATTAATCCATTCAAACCCAGTGAGCTTCATTCTGAGTAAATCTGCATAGGAGTTGGAATTCTAATTTGAGGTAGCTGTGATGAAAACTGAAGCAGGGTATTCTATATCCTGCTTTCCACTTTCAATCCATCCATCTTCAGAATGGGTCATAGCTCAAGTTCCCAAACTCATAGGTCCTAAATTCAATTCATGGTACGTATCTCCAGGTAGAGCTGGAGGGAATATCCCTAATCTGAAACCTTGGTGAACCATTGCCATTCAGAAAACACTGAGCTACATGGTGTGACTCCATGAAAGGCAGTTCCTTATGTTCCTATCTTCAGCTCTGTCTCCACCTTTGATACAGGTATGTGGCCCCTGGCAGACTGCCCCGCCCTGGTGGAAAATGGGCCTCAACAAACCAACATATGCAGACTAAAGCAAAAGGGTGAAATTGTGCCAGTGTCAAATTTATTCATTTGTATACAACTTCATCCACCCACCAATGTTTGGGACGCGTTCAGCTAAAAAAGTGACAAAGTTCCCGAAGAGAACTGGCACAAAGTGGTGTGAGACTAAAACACACAACCACCTACCACAGCCTTATATTCTTTGCCAAAAAGAAAAAGAAAAAATGTGACCATAATTCTGCTTCAAGAATAGAAAAGGACTTTGAGCCTCATGTTGGACAAAGGATTCCTACAGTGCAGGATGTTGGAATAGATGACTTCATGGTCCCTTCCAACTCTACAGATCTATGGTTCTATGATTATGTTTTGCTATTTGCTGTTTTAATAAATCCTGTCTTTTTTCCAGTCCTGAGGATGAATGAATGTATTTTATCTCCCCGACAACATCTTCAAATCTAACTCTGGCTTCAGAGTTTCCACCAGGCACACACTTTCAATCCCACCTTTGCAGCTGAATGAACAACAAATGTGTTACATATAAAAATGCATGCTGACATTCTTTGAATATTAAATTCTGCTCCAAATTCCATATTAGTTTAGGCTGACTGGAACCCCACATTTATATTGCTGCCCGCCCCTTCCGGTTCAAAGACATTTCTGGGTTTTACCATAAAAAACCAGCATATTTTATTGGGCATATTTAATACATAAATTATGCATATAATACATATTAAAGGTCGTAGTCTGCTGCTCTGCTTCAATCTTGATTCTTTGGCAGAAGTAGATACCCCAGAGTCTTGAGCCATTTTGGAATCCAGGAGACTAAGTCTTAAAGTGTGACCTCTCCATTGTTACCCATGCATCCGTCTACTCCAAAATGTAATTATCTATAGTTTCTAGATCTAGACTATAAAGTAGTCCTAGATTCAAAACCATCAAACGTTAATATATTGCATGTCATCAGTAGACACATTTATATCACTTTATGAAAAATAGACTTAAGGAAACACAGTACGAACCCAAACTATGTTTTTCTTTGAACAATTTAGAAGGTAAAACGATATTTACTTTACACAGGGTAACAGGGAATGTGCTATCCTAAAAGGCACGTGTGCATTTACTTATTTCAAAACAGAAGTTTTCAAAATTGATGGAGAGAAATGGACAAACTGTGGTCTAGATTGACAGATGGCTGTCTACTGAACCATTTAGGTGGAAGATTGCTAGAAACACGAGATATAGGGAAAGAAGAACACTAGCGACAGGGGTCTTATTCACCAGTCTGGTAGACCCCCATAAAATGCTTTAAATCTGAGTAGGGATGTTGCTCACTACACAATCACCATCTGCTAAGCAGCTTTGGCAAAGACTACTAAGCTAACCTCCTTCCATGGGGTGAAGAAAACTAACATTTCCCCCCAATGGAGAACAAAACACTTATCAAAATAACAATCCTCGGCCTTCTTCAGAATAAATAGGAATTGCTGAGAAACTGATTAAACTGAAATAATATTTCCATGAAACTTCCAAACAACATGCCCTGAATTTAAAATTAGATAAAAAATCCTTATCATTACTGTAGCTTTCCCAATCCCTGTCTTCTTCCTTAATTGATATTCAATGAAATACAGCTAAAGAGCAACAGACGCTGCAACATAAGGGAAAAATGAAATCTTCAAGATGTGGATGAACATGCTAAGCTGCCTAGTCCAACTGTTACTTTTACCTTTCCAGAAAATCTGTCATGAGCACAGAGTGGAAAATATATTAAGCATCAATTTTCAAGAAATTAATTTTATCTGTAAAATACAGATCATATCATGATGCTACCATGATTCATACATACACATATTCTGAATAGTTTAAGCAAGGTTTTTATATATTAAAAAAAAAACTTCCATAACAGGTGCACTTCTTTTATTTTAAAAAAACCCTTGTGAATCAAATAATTTTTTCTTGTTTTAATTCATAATATTTAATCTGAATTACACATCCAGCATTATGAGCGAGCTCTTCCATTCACACTTGCAGAAAGGTATCAACTAAATGGAACAAGTACAAAGAAGAATAAAGATGATCAGGGGCATGTAAAGTAATCCTAGGAGGAAATAACTCAGAATATACTCTTGATCTTAGTCTCCTCCCTTAATTGCTGTATTGTTTTAACAAAATTGTTACTTTGTGCATTTTAATTATGGATGCTGATATTTTAATGTTTAATTGATTTTTATACATCATAATCTGCTTAGAAACCTATTTTGGCATTAAGTAATTAATGGAATGCACATTGTGATATTTCCTCTACAAAAGCACACAACTACCATATAAGAATATCAATATTATATTTCAAAATAAATTTTCTGTAAGAAATCGCTGAATAGAAGTATATCCTGGAAACAGATATATCCTTTTTTTTGCTCTTTTTTTTTTTTGCTGAATATCAATTAAGGAAGAAGAGAAAGTTTTGCTCTTACAAGAACCTGAAGTCTAGCAAACTCAGACCCAATATTTCTGTAATTAAATTTATTCAGCAACTCTATTACCTAGTTCCATAGCTTTCCCCAAAAGCAAGAAATCACTGGTGAAGAAAAACAAATTACAGTGGTACCCCGCAAGACGAATGCCTCGCAAGACGGAAAACCCGCAAGACGAAAGGGTTTTCTGTTTCGGAGGCGCTTCGCAAGACGAATTTCCCTATGGGCTTGCTTCGCAAGACGAAAGCCCATAGGGAAATCTCCGGGGACCTGTTTTAAATTGCTGGCGGTCGGGAGCAAAGACTTTCGCCCACAGCCGGCCTTCAGAAGAGGTCCTGGACCTCTTCTGAAGGCCGGCGGGGGGCAAAAGTCTTTGCTCCCCCCCGCCTGCCTTCCCAGGACAGCGGAGACTTCTCCGCTGCCCCGGGCGATCTTAAAATGCTGGCGGGCGGGAGCGAAGCGTTCGCTGCCGACCCCCAGCATTTTAAAATCTCCTCGGGACAGCAGAGAAGTCCCGCCCCGCTCGGGATGGCGGCGCAGAGCTGTCTGCCGTCCCGGGATCAGCGCAGCTCTGCGCGGCCATCGGGAGCCGGGGGCGAAGCCCGCCCCGCTCCAGATGGCCGCGCAAAGCTGCCTGCAGTCCCGGGACTGCAGGCAGATCTGCGCCACCATCCCGAGCGGGGCGCTAAGTCCCGCCCCGCTCGGGATGGCGGCGCAGAGCTGTCTGCCGTCCCGGGATCAGCGCAGCTCTGCGCGGCCATCGGGAGCCGGGGGCGAAGCCCGCCCCGCTCCAGATGGCCGCGCAAAGCTGCCTGCAGTCCCGGGACTGCAGGCAGATCTGCGCCACCATCCCGAGCGGGGCGCTAAGTCCCGCCCCGCTCGGGATGGCTGCGCAGAGCTGTCTGCCGTCCCGGGATCAGCGCAGCTCTGCGCGGCCATCGGGAGCCGGGGGCGAAGCCCGCCCCGCTCGGGATGGCGGCGCAGAGCTGTCTGCAGTCCCGGGACTGCAGGCAGATCTGCGCCACCATCCCGAGCGGGGCGCTAAGTCCCGCCCCGCTCTGGATGCCGGCGCGGAGCTGTCTGCCGTCCCGGGACTGCAGGCACATCTGCACCGCCATCCCAAGCGGGGCGCTAAGTCCTGCCCCGCTCTGGATGCCAGCGCAGAGCTGTCTGCCGTCCCGGGACTGCAGGCAGATGTGTGCCGCCATCCCGAGCGGGGCGCTAAGTCCCGCCCCGCTCTGGATGCCAGCGCAGAGCTGTCTGCCGTCCCGGGACTGCAGGCAGATGTGTGCCGCCATCCCGAGCGGGGCGCTAAGTCATGCCCCGCTCTGGATGGCGGTGCAGATCTGCCTGCCTTCCCGGGATCAGCGAAGCGTTCGCTGCCGACCCCCAGCATTTTAAAATCTCCCCGTGTCCCGGTGAGATTTTAAAATGCTGGGGGTCGGCAGCGAAGCCCTTGTTCCCCCCCAGCCCCCCCAGCCTTCAGAAGCCCTTGTCCCCCCCCCAGCCTTCAGAAGAGGTCGGGGGACAGACTGTCCCCGGACCTGGTCTGAAGGCGGTTTCCCTAGGAACGCATTAATTGATTTTCAATGCATTCCTATTGGAAACCGTGCATCGCAAGACGAAAAACTCGCAAGAAGAAAAAACTTGCGGAACGAATTAATTTCGTCTTGCGAGGCACCACTGTAAAACATGCTATATGTCTATTTCTGCAAACAGAAAGCTCTTTTTTTGTTGAGATCAGGAATTGA